CAAGGTAGTTTTTTATAGATTGAGTACATGTACTGTCATGATATATTAGCACTTGATGCAATCATCCACTCCGCCTCTCTCTCTCTCTCTCTCTCTCTCTCCTTTCCCTTTTCACAAACGCACACTACACAGTCTGTCTGTGAATAGCCATTGTTAAAGTCTTACATTTGTTTGTTTTTTGTGAAGGGATGTGAGGAATGACTGCCCAGCCAGTGAGCTTCAGAGGAATGTATGAAATGTATGCATTTACAGCTCGTGTCGACTTGATCACTGCACTTTCCATTCACCTCAGATCAAGTTTGCCCTCCTTTGTTTGCCTCATCATTCTGACTTTCACTGCATCCTCACGTGATGTAGGGGACCAAGACATTCACCACTTGATATGGCATTCCCATTCAACCAGACTACGTGTGATAGGGTGGGGGTTTACTTGCTACTGGAAAGGAAATGGAATAGCATAGCAATAATAAAAATCGTATTAGAGCAAGCAATGCAGTAGGTACCCAGTCTTAAATTATTTAATTCAGCAATTCCAATAATTTCTTATGAAGGATGAATGTTTCTTTTATTAACTGACTGCCCTTGAAATGACTAAAATCTCAGGTCGCATACTCAAACTCAACAGTGAAAACCACTACGGGTGGATTATTTATTATATAACTATGAAATGAATTGGCCGAATGCTCAGAGCCGTTGCGAGATAATTCAGTTCCAGACCTACTCAGTGTTCTTAAATAGGAAAAACAAGTTTTGCTGCAGTGAAGCACAGGTTTAATTTGACTGCTAAACCCAGCAGTTTCCTTCACTCCCCTTTCTAGCAGCTTGAACTCTCACCCCCTGTTTGTTGAGAATGAGAAACTGTGGTACATTTTTTTGTTTTTATTTAAATTTTAATGCCATTTGACACGTTTTGTGACTTTCATCCGAAACGAGGTCAACCTAAACGTGTCTTGGCTTCTGTAATTATAATAATTAATGGTGCTGCGAGGGACTTCAAATTGTGCCAACACGGCAATGATCAACATTTCAGTGTCATTTTAACACACAGGTTTTATTTAAAGTGATTATTTTTTATTTAATCTGCTCATGAATTCCGCTGTCTGTGTGCGCATTCTCAGCAAAGTTTGTTTGTGTTTGCATCAGCTCACTCCAGATACGCTATGACTCGTCTCTGCATGAACTCATGACACTTTGACTATGGGACTGGAATATTTTTCCATGTCTCAGTTTTCCCAAATGGAACGGTGCCAAGGGTACATGAGTGGAACCTGGCATAGCAGATACTCATGCACAAATGTAGGTTGACTCACTCGTTTTATTTTTTAATTTTTGGTTTATTTTTTATTTTTTTTAGTAAGAGCTGGCTCTCCCCCTACTGGTCAGTCCTTGCGTGACACTCCAGACATCTTGTTCTGCTCCATCTTGAATCTTTAGTTTAACATCAAACAAGAAATGAAGTTGAACTGGGAATGCTGACACAACTCCAGGTTGTTGATTTTCTTATTCTCTTATTTGTATTACATCAACAATGGACATGTGCATTTCATTGTCCAAAGAAATCATTAAACATCCCTTTGCTACATGTCCTGGTCATCATTCTTGCTGTCTTTTTTTATTGCACTCATCCATAATACAATGGTAATATTAGCTGCTAAAGTTAATATTACACACAAATCATAAGCATTAGATTAGATCTTCTACTGTTACTGTGTAATCTCTAAAAGCATGGCCTTCTTACATATAAAAATATACAAAGATTCTTGCCGGTGAATTTTCAGTACTCCTTTAAATGGGTCTTGCCAATGATCTGAGACTATTCAATCTGTGTAAGGCATTCAGGGTATGTACTGTACGTAAGAGCTTATAACTGTGACAAATGGCGGAAAGTCCTCTCCCTTTTCATATCATTTGAGAGCCGGATCCCTTTATTTGCCCCCATACTGAACTTCAAGAGAGCATGACCTGATCAGGGATCTTCAGACCGTTTGTTTACCAGTACTTCCTGAGTTTCAAAGGGCTACAAAATGGACAAACAATGACCAGAAGGTGCAACTCGGGAGGCAGGACGATGTGGATGTGCTATTGAACCACCATGTGGACGAGGCAATATTCACCGGTCAAGTGATTTCTAGAATTTACAGAACAAGGTCGATGCCTGTTGTCGTGAATACCTTTGGGGTAAAAAACTGGGTCATTGTGTATGCTTGATGGACAGATACACACAGAGAATCATGAGCCCATTCTTACTTCAGTACCCTCCCTCTCTCTGGCTACACATCCACTCTGTCCTCTCAGAGATCCAGCTAGGAAAATGAGCAAAAACTATGTAGTTCCAGATTATCTTGTACTGATAAACATTTATTTTACAAAATAAGCACATATCTTAACAGAGGAGGGGTTGTTTAATGTTATGGTGTAATAGTTAGACACTGTGAGGCTTAAGATAATAAAAGAATTGTGATTGCAACGAGTCGTGGCATATTTTCTGTATGAAATAAGCTGTAGAATTAAAAGGGAATGCCACTTAAATTTTGGAATGCATGTATGTTTTGCATTGGCTTTATGTTTAAAACAAATTACCTCAATTCTATTAATTGTTGTTCTCAGATCTGGAGTAGGAAAATAGTGTCCGGAAAAAACTTAATCTTTGTGATCCCAAAGCCACTTTTGCTTCTTTTTTCTTTTTGTGCTCAGTTGTTTTTATTGTTTTATAACTTAAAATAAAACAAGGGTCAGCAAAACACTTTCATTTGGTCCACCTTAGTACGTGGTCATACAAATAGTGATAACTAGCAGTATACAAGGATGTTATTCTAGGTGTCTTAATTCCAATTGCGGGGACTTTTTATGCTACATATTTTAGACAATAGTGAGGCAACAGTTTGGCCCTTTCCTGTTTCAACACAACAGTGCTTTTGTGCACAGATGAGGTCCATAAAGAAAGGTTTCTCCTGTTGTTTGGTGACTGTGCCTGTGCACAGAGCCCTGACGTCAACGCCATCCAACACCGTTCACATTAATTGGAACACAGACTCCAAGCCAGGCCTTATTGACCAACATCAGCGCCCAACCTCACTAATGCTCTTTGTGGCTGAATGGGAGCAAATTCCTGCATTCAGGTTCCAAACTCTTGTGGAAAGCCTCCCCACGCTCTTATAGCAGCATATTAATGCTCATGGTGTCGGAGTAAAATGTTATCAAAGGGGGAGAGAAAAACATAGTGACACCAGGTTGAAAAAAATGAATAAGCACATATGAACCATGCCCTCTGTGCATTGTAGTCTTCCACATCCCCTCTGTTTGTCCACTCATGCCTCACATAGGTGGATCCCTCCTGCTGATAACACGTAAGATCTGATCCTCAACTCCTTTAAGCCTTTAGGTACCATTGGAGAGACAATGAATCCAAAAATGAAAACATTTCTACCAGAACTATATGGTGTTGTTTTTTTTTTTTTTGTGGGACTGTGTTACAGATAAGGTACTATAGATCCACAGCCATGTGACATTGCCATACAAATGCATATAGCACTGGCTTAACAAAAAATAAGGGCAATAGTGACTGCAGTAGTTTAATTTGGAAATAGATGTGACATTATACCAGCTTACTGCTGAGTGAGTGCATGATTCACAATACAGTGCTTATAATAAGAAAGGCAAGAGAAAGAAGGAAGGTTAGATTTATATTTCAGGGTATGAGTGTATGGAGAACTTATTTCCTGTGACTAATATTTAACACGAACTCTCTAAATTTAGAGGCTATTAATATTTTCTACTTTCTATTTCTTTTGTGTGTTTGAACGTGCGGAAGGATGCTGTCATCTCTTTGCGTCACAGCTCCTGACCACAGCGCCCCCTGCAGGCTTCATCGTGGATGTGCAACAGGAATCTCGAGCAGATGCGTCAAGTCAGTGGAAGATACCCAAAACAAAACCGCCTTCAAAATAAAATCACATAGTCGCTCTGAATTATTTCTCAGTCAAAATTAATTAAAGTTGTGATAGAAACTAACCTTTATAGGATCAAAAAAATATGATTGGCTTAAATGTGGTTGTTGGCTACTACCTTGTCTTGTATTTGTTAACAAATATTACTCCTCCTATAAAGGATCCATAACTGCATACACAGTTTATGGAGACTGGATAACACATTGAAACAGGGCTGTATTCGTATTTATGGATAAATGACAAAACACATGAACATTGTGCTACAAGGCATTTATTAATACCCGTCATACAATTTGTGTGCATAATGTTTTATATTCAATGGCAACATGTAACTTACATGTACATTTACTCAAGTATTGTGCTGAGGAGGAAATTTGAACCACTTGTAGTACTTTACTTTAGTATTTCCATGTTATGCTACTTTGTACTGCTACTTTACTACATTTGTGGGAATTATTGTACATTTTACTCCACTTTATTTATCTAACAGCTACAGTCACTAGTAACCTTTTAGATTAATATATAAGCATCTTATAAAATTTGATGCAACAGGATATAAAATTAGTCAAATTTAGCTCAACATTAAAATAATAAAATTATGCTTTAACATTAATCTGCCCTCAATAATCCAATATCATAGATGATGATGAATATAATACTGTTAATTGTGCCATTTTGCACATAGAGTGCGTTTACTTTTGATGCTTAAAGTACATTTTGCTGCTTTGCCAATACTGACTGTATGTACTTAAGTAAAATATTACATGCAGGACTTTTTCTACTTCTAATGGAGTATTTTTATATTGTTGTATTGCTACTAAAATATCTCAATCCTTTTTTCAACCCTGGTTTTAATGTGTTAAAAATTAATTTATTAATTATATTCTGATTATAAATGCTAAATAGGTGAGGTTGAAATAAAGTGTTACCTTAAACGGTGTACTTTACTCGTCCTTCAACATTTATCGGCGTTATTAAAACTTATAAAAATAGCTTTAAAAGATTTTATTTTGGAAAGCCTAACCGGAAGCTCTAGCCAGTGGTGAACTTTCGGATGAAACGGCTGACGTCACGGAGGAGGAGGAGCTAAAACATCCGAGGAGAAGTCTTCCGTGGCGGTTAATGAAGCACTGTAACAAAGACACACAAAAAAGGGAATATCGCCAGGCACCTGCTGATTTGTGGTACGTTTATAATATTTGTGTTTTCATTCCCGCTTTGTTGTTTTTGTTTGCCTTTTGAAACGACATTTGTTTTCCCTAAAAGCAGAAGTGATGAAGTTTGCAGGCCAAGAGTGAACGTAGGTGTTCATGTAGCAGACAGCCCTGCAGTGTGTGACAGGATGACAGCATACAACTTCTGCTCTGTTCAAACTTCTGCTGTTACTGTGCAGCTTTGAGCTCATTGTACTGTTATTTGTGGGTTGTGTCCTAACCATGCATCCCTCAGTATACCTCTAGTAGTATGAAGGCAGGTGGAGGGTATATGGACATCAGTAACGCTACTAATAATGAATAATGAATTAAAACCAGCTGTGGCAGATCCCCATGTTACCAAGTTACAGCCTACAACATTTACATTATATTAATTACACGGCTGTGATGTTGAACTGGATATGTTGGGCTGTTAGTCAGTCACAAAACAAGACATTTGAATATGTTGGGTATTGGGGAAGTTGTGATTGCCATTCTTCCTCTGTTTTCTGACATTTCATTGATCAAACAGTTGTTCATTGAAATAATTGTACCCCTAAAAACAAGTGAGCAAGCAGTCCTTCACATTTTTGAAGCTGTCGCCAGCAAATGTTTTGATATAAAACTGTGGCAGAGTATCATAATTAAAAGAAATGTACTTTTATTTTTTGTATATCAACTAACTGAACAACAAACTAATGATTGAGGCATTGGTGTGTTCATAGTGAAAATATTCTAGCACTTTGGTCTGCTATGGTATTTGGGTCTGTCTTCAGGGACTCGCGTATTCACTGCATGTCTTTTATATATCCCTGTGTAATCACCTTACATTGGATCTGAACGTCATTCGACTGTATTGCACGCACACCTTTCTGATCGCAGCCTGCTTCATCATCAGGTGATGACAATGTGATACAGCAAAGTCGTGTCCTCAACAGAGAGAGATGCTGACCTCATCTCACCAGTGACCAGAGTTTGCCGTCCCCATACCAGCCGAGACAGGACAGCAGGACGCAGATCACACCGGTCATGGCTGGCAGACAGCAGAGACCTGCAGCTGCTTCAGACAGCTCAGCAGAGACCAAAAGGACGGACCTCAGGGCCAATGAGAAGAAGTGCTGTGAGTGCTTTGTTTTTTCTGTGTGCCCTGAAGGTGAATCGTTGACTCATTATCTGAAACACTAACCTGTTCCGTATTACTTATTCAACTCTGTGACATTATTTAATATAATGCAGTAACACTGAGCTGTAAATGGATCTTTTAATCAAGTTTGCCACTCTGTTGGCCGTGAGTAAAGAAAGCTGATAAGGTTCCAGCATGCACTGATTGTTAAAAGTAAACTTTGACGCACCTTCTCTCATTGTTGGTGTATTTGCAAAGGCAGGCACTACGACCCATATCTTTGAAGCAGAGTAAGACTGTAATGAGCAAGGTCACCATCCAGCCAGTAAAAATGTCACTGAGCTCAGCTTAATTTTAACTTCACAGTGAGACTTTGAGGAATCTTTAATCAGGAAGGTGTGATGGATCTAAAATGATCAAAATATGTCTTGAATGCAAAACTGTTCCTGTCTGCTGTCGTCTTAAACATTCCAGACATGTTTGTAGAATCTCCAGTCAAGTCTGGTCTTGCCTGGTCCTAGTTTTGATAGATCTGTCTTCTCTGAGCTGAGGATGGTCGTGGACACTAAAAGAAAAGGGAGAAAAATTCAGTTGGAATATTTTCCATTTGTTGTCATTTCAAACAAGGTTCTAGTGGATTAATAAAGTGGGTTGCTAAGCAGCAGGACCTTGAGAAACATTAACCTGCAGTCGAGAGATGACGTTGGTATGACGGAAATGTTAAACTAAAAGTTAACCAGCTTGTAAAAGGACACTGTAGGGGTGACATTGGATTATTTCACAACCCTCTCTCTTCTTGTTTTGTGTATACACTAAGCATATCTGCCCTTTTACTACAAATGGGACATTTTGAGGGAAAAGTAAAACACTTACCAGTATGTGAAGGGGGCTGCAGGTCATTAAATTTCCTTGTATGCTCAACTAACTAAATCTCTGGTTGTGTTTATGTTTGTGTTTGTGTGTTGTGTGTGCAAACTGCAGCATGGGCCTCCTACATGACCAATTCTCCAACTGTGATAGTGATGATTGGGTTGCCCGCCAGGGGGAAAACCTACATGTCCAAGAAGCTAACACGCTACCTCAACTGGATTGGAGTGCCAACTAAGGGTGAGTACAGGACACATTAAGTTTAAGTTCTGTAAGTTGATCTGCAGGAAATAAAACCAATAAGAATCAGGTTAAGAGTGCATCAGCAGGTAGCTTAATGCTGTAATGCCGTTCAGAGATATACATTTTTCTGAAAATCTTGTGCTTAAGGCTATGCTGTGTTAATGTAGTTATATTTATGTCAACGCCCCTCATCAGATGATTCTGTTTGTAGTTGTGCGCTTATGGTGTCATATAAATGGAACTCTGAACCAGGAGAACTGGTTTGGCAGACTCAGTTGAGATAAAGGTCACCACCTTGGCAGAGCACGTACTGTAATCCTTTTTAAACTGACTTTCTCTCCACTCTCTCCCCTTGCAGTATTCAACCTTGGAGTTTATAGGAGAGAAGCAGTGAAGTCATACAAGTCCTATGACTTCTTCAGACATGACAATAAAGAAGCAATGGAAATTAGAAAGTGAGTAAGAGAGTCCCTCTGCATGTGTTACTTGGTGGCTTCCTGTCGTGATTACCCAGTAAAAACTACTTTTCCTGTCGGCTAGCCATGCAAGTTTTTTTTTTTGACTGCGCGTTGTTTTGTATAACAAACGTGGCTACACTTATCCCAGCACATTATTTCTTGAAGATGCATAGTAATAGCATGCATAATAGCCAACTGGTTTGATTTCCTGATCAATTTTCTCATTCTGTTTCCACAGACAGTGTGCCTTGGTGGCACTGGAGGATGTCAAGGCCTATCTGAATGAGGAGGGAGGCCAAATCGCTGTAAGGACACACAAAACTGTTTTTAGGTCAAGTAGGACAAAATACTCACAATTCACTTTTTTATTTGGCTCGCATCACAATAGAAAAATGCTTATGCATCTTGGCACAGAGCCTTCGTCAGAGCGTTTGAAGTGTGCAGGTTCAGTTCAGCTAGAATCCACAGCTGGGAGTTGGAGCCGGTTGTTCAGAGACCAATCACAAGTATATAGATTAAATCAGATTTGAACCCTATTACATACAATATGAAGCTTTACAAAACAGTCATTATTCATCTGGTCATCCTTGAGATTAATAAGACCGTACTCTAGATGGCAGTAGAGAGGAATTTGACTAAACCCCTATTCATTTTTCCATTATAGGAAAATCTTGAGGATGTTTCCACATCCTTAAATTGTCAGTGGTCGCATTCATAGTTTGTGGGTTTCGAATGATTACAAACAGCTAATACAGATACAAACTGTGTATATACCCTGTGTTGTCTATCAGGTTTTTGATGCCACCAACACCACCAGAGAGAGGAGGGAACTCATCCTTAATTTTGCAAAGGATAATGCATACAAGGTCAGAGATACTGTGATGGTTTAGTAATTTTAGCTCAGATTATATATATTTTTTACATGAATTATGAATTTATAATCTTTATTGTCTTTTGTAAGGTGTTTTTTGTTGAGTCAGTATGTGACGATCCAGATGTCATCGCAACAAATATCATGGTAAATGGTGCATTTATGCCTTTTAAGCTTAATTACGAGCTGACTTTGTCCTTGATTTGTTAGACGTCATCGTGAATCATCTCTACAAATGTTTCTTTTATAAAGGATGTGAAAGTGTCCAGCCCAGATTACCCTGAGAGGGACAGAGAAAGTGTCATGGAGGATTTTCTAAAGAGAATAGAGTGTTACAAAGTGACCTACCAACCTCTGGATCCGGACGAACACGACAAGTAAGAGGGCATTTTGTGAAGAAAAATAATAATTGCATTTCTTTACTTTTTACCTTGACTTTGTTTAACACAATAACCCAATCAAAGCAAGAGTCATTTAGGCTTAACTCTCATAATGTTCTGGTGTTGTGCTTATACATTATCTGGGCATTGTGTTGAACATTTACTTGCAGACGCTGTCCAGCAGATGGAGACTTTAGCTCAATATAGATGAGTTCGGTCTACACCTACTCTCTTTGAAAAGTGTCCTGAGATAACTTCAATTGGCGCTATACAAATACATTGAATTGAATTTAAAATAGTTATTGTTATTATGAGTTTTGATTTGCGGATCTGATATACACTAAATCCCAAAATATTATTATTGTGAGAAATTTACGTCATGTGGTTTCAGTCATGAGTTTTTATTTCTCCTGCCAACTGGCTCAAATGGGATTTGTTTGATTTCTTTATTAATTAACTGATTGTATTTTTAGATTCAAAACTACGTTATATGTGTATTTAAATAAATAAAGTAACTTAACTGAGAATAGGCCCACATACTTCATACTGGATCTTTGTTTGTAGAGAGTGTACAGTTGTTGATCTTCTTAAATTTTGTCCAGTGTTCTGACGTGTTTTGGATATCTCAATATTTAGACTGCACCAATGGTACAAGATATCCCTTCCCTACCCTTGAGTCACATTTCAGTAATGTTTGTACGATTGACTCACTTTCTGTTTTCTTCTTTTTGCCCCGACCCACAGGAACCTGTCCTTCATCCAGGTCATCAATGTCGGCCGTCGTTTCCTGGTCAACAGGGTGCAGGACTACATCCAAAGTAAAATCGTGTACTACCTCATGAACATCCACGTACACTCCCACTCCATCTACCTCTGTCGGCATGGAGAGAGCCAACACAATGAGGAGGGACGCATCGGGGGAGACTCTGAGCTGTCAAAGAGAGGGAGACAGGTGCTTGAACAAATCATATCACTCATACATTTCTAAACTTTAGAAAGATAGTAGCATGTCCAAAAAATCTGAAAGGGATAGTTTGACATTTTGGCAAATACACTTATCTGATACCACTCTCACAGCTGTCCTTTACACCGCATCCCATTTCCCTTTTCTGAAACAATCTTAATTAACATTCTCTAAACTGTAAGTGCAATTGTCACAACCGTTTCATGGGATGTCACAACTCTATTGCATGTCTGCAAAACATGCAACTCATCCAAAACATTTCATTGCTTCCAAACCTAGTTATTGTGACAGTAAGTTGGCCACCATAATGAAAAGTTGTTATGTTATCGTGTGAGCCGTTTTTTTCCATGGCAGTCAACCCTGTTTCTTCTATTCAAATCTCTGTTTAGTTCTACTTTTTTCTTGACGCTGACTGCTTACTGTGCAATACAAGAATTGTTTAGCTGAACGCTGTTGTATATCGCACTGAGCTTTTTAGTCTCAGATTTCAACAGTAGGTAAAAGTTTACTGGGGAAGGTCAATACTGTATAATACAATAGTACACAGGAAAAAGGATATGTACATTTGTGTGTATACAGTATATTTATTTGTTTAGCAATGTGTTATGTGTACTGTAAAACAGGAAATTCCCCTTTGATCTTTCATGTAAAGTCATATATCAAATCTGAAAACAGCGGAAACAGCTGGCCTGACTCTTCTTTTTTCTTTTTCTTTTTTACAGAATAAAACAAAAGAGATATAATATGTTAATTACATGGCCATTCCCCCATGTTTCTAGACTGTAAGCTAAGCTAAGCAAACTGGCCACTGTCTATAGCTTCATTTTTAATGGACAGAAACGAGAGTGGTATCAATCTTCTCGTATAGATATCTGGCTAAGAAAGAAAGAAAATAAGCCACAATGTCAAGCACAAACTATTGCTTTAATGTAATGTGTAATGCGACTTAACAAGCTTTTACGGATTGAAATTATCTTGTCAAATCTACAACAAAGTTTCTAGCGTGAATCCAGTTAGATGGCGGGAATAAAATCCTGCTGCTACAAATCAACAGATAACAGAAGATATGAGATATAAGAAGAATTATTTCAGTTCATCATAACTTCTGTTCTTTATTAAGGTGTCAGATCTAAAGTCTCTTTATGTTCTCTCTGTCAGTTTGCAGCAGAACTGAAGGGTTTTGTGGAAGAACACCGTCTGTCAGACCTGAAAGTTTGGACCAGCCAGCTGAGACGCACCATTCAGACTGCAGAGGAGCTGGGAGTTCCCTACGAGCAGTGGAAGATCTTAAATGAAATAGACGCTGTATGTCCTCTGATACATCACAGAAGAGACAAACACGCACAGCGAAGGCCTGCCTTGAGTGTTTTTATTACTTTATGTTTCAGGGAGTGTGTGAAGATATGACCTATAAGATGATTGAGGAAACATACCCAGAGGAATTTGCCATGAGGGACCAGGACAAGTACCATTATCGCTACCCTGGAGGAGAGGTAAAAGCTTTCCCTTTCCTCCAAAGTGATGTTTGACCCTTCATGTATTACTGATTGATTCTGTCAGCAGTCTGACATGTGCTGACAGATCGGGGTCTATTATGATTTTGGCCATTATGTTTTTTATTTTTTTCATAATAAACAGAAAAATCTACAAAAACTGAATCAAACAGAACAAAACCAAATTCTGTATCATTTGATTTTATGTACCTTTTGCTTTTCTCTGTAGTCCTACCAGGACCTGGTTCAGCGTCTGGAGCCAGTTATCATGGAGCTGGAGCGACAGGGCAACGTGTTGGTCATCTGTCATCAGGCCGTCATGCGCTGTTTGCTCGCCTATTTCCTGGACAAGAGCGCAGGTTAACTGCACAAACAGAAACATGATCCATGCGTAGACCAAGACATATTTCCTGTATACCGTTGAGTAACTGCTCACAGCTGTTTTTTTATCCCTTATCTTAAACTTAATATGATAATTATACTCAAGTGGTACGTCTTTAACAGTGCTTTAACAAAACAGTTTAGTGGATTAATTCAAGGCAATATTGTTCCCCTGAGTGCTGAAAAATAGTGTCAAGTTGCAGCTAAACTAAATGTTCCTGAGAGGGCCGATGAAAACACACAGGAGAGATATTCAGTACCACCTGAAGAATGATTATATCAAGTTTAAATCCGTAATGAGTTAGAAAAGCTTCTGCAGTTGCGATGCAAAGCTAAATAAACATAAAATGCTCCACATGAGTTAGCAGATGTAAAGTAAAAGACTATTGGCAAAGTGCAGCTTGAGTGAGTGAGTAGAAATGGGCTCTGTTTTTGTTGGGGTGTGGATAATATCACACGCAACACTACAAAATGTAGGTGTTTCTGTGACCTTGAAATGTGCTTTTCAAATGTAGCTGCCATTGTCGCACTCTGTGGGTTTGTGATGGTGCAAGTAGCGGCGAAATGAAATGAGAGCTGCACCTAAATGAAAGGAGGTGTTTATATTTTGTAGAAAATGAAATAGCTACAATAAGACCACAGGTGATACACTCATATCCAATGTGGATATCTTATTTAACTCATGCACAAATACAGCCAGACAAAATTGTCTCACAAAATTAGATACTTTTGTGCAATCAAACTTCAAAATCAAACTTGGCTGTAATTTGGTCATTTACGGGTGTCATCTAACCTTGTTCTGTAAGTTCATACAGTATATCCTTCATTCATGTAACAGGATTAGACACAGGCCCACCAGGTATTAGCTCCAGGTCACTAATGCTCCAGGCCACTTCAAAGACCTGTTCAAAATAGACCCTCTCAGCAATTAGATCTCTAAGTGCAGTAGAGATTTACCCGTGGGTAGTTACAACTAACTGGGTGAAGAGCAAAATCATGGCTGTAAATGTTTTGGACACATTTGATAGTGGATAGTAAGGAGACAATTATTTATTTTGCCAGGACAATGTGGTACCAAAGTCAGGAGTTTATTTAGCAATATATGTTCAATTCACAGGGGCTTAATTTATCCATGCTACATGATTGATCATGATGGAAATATGACCTAAGACATTAGGCTAGACCCAAACAGAAATCTATACAGATTACAAAGAGTCTTGTTTACAGATTAATCAAACTTTACCGTTGTGACTTAAGCAACATCAGCAGCACATGACTAGATTCAAGAAATGTACCATTTTATTCAAAGAGTGCTGAAGTAATGATGACTGCTTAAATTGAATGAGAGAAGTTTTGACTGGCTCGTAAACAATCTTTTTTGCGTTGGCGGAGAATTTTAGTTTGAAACGCAGTTTTGTTTTAGTCTCTGAAAAATGATGAAACAGAAGTGGACTGAAATGGCATTTGGATCTTGTTTTTCATCTTAAAAAAATGTACTTGCACTTAAATACATAAAATAAATGTGTTTAAATGGGCAAGAAGTAAAAAAACAAACAAACCTGATTAACAACTGCTTGGTTAGGGTGGAAACTGCTGCTCAGAAATAAATCCATAATTAGGCACGGGCAGACGGAGGGTTTCGTCAGACAGAAGGGGAAGTGGTTGCTGCTGCAGCATCTGTTTAACCCACAGCTAAACCCACCAGTGAGGGTGCAGCACTGACTGGCCTTTTATCCCACTGCATCCCCCTGAGGGACATGTAGCACTGTCACACAGTCTTGGCACAGTGATGTACTGTAAATTCTTTAAAAAGCACCACATGAGCTGTACAGCTGAGCATACTGAGTGCTCTCCAACATGTGAGAAATATTTCAGAAGAAACAAACATCAACGGATACAACCACAGCACAGAGAGTCTGAAGTTTTTTGTTTGTTTTTCTTTTATTGGCACAGATGATCTACCTTACTTGAAGTGTCCCCTGCACACTGTCCTAAAATTGACCCCTGTGGCTTATGGTAAGTCACTAAACTTTCCATATACCAACACAACTAGCTTTTTCCTTTGCTGGGTCGTGACGTATTTTCCTCCTGTCTCCCTCTACTAGGTTGTAAAGTGGACATGTTTGACTTGAAGGTCGAGGCTGTCAACACTCACAGAGACAGGCCATTAGTAAGCTTCTGACCTTTTTATTATTTTGTGTCACGCACATGCTGTCAGTTCTCTGTGTCAGAAGTTGTCACTGTCCACAGTTTAGTCCAAGTGCAGCCTGAAGGATCAGTTTAACCACTACAGTCATAACTGGACAAACTGCTCAGACCAACTAAAATGACACACTACTGTTGAAGCTTTCAGGAGTCAGGTCTTCTCTCAAAAGTCCCGGATGATGATAAAACTCGGTGTGGGTTCACAACTAAAACTCTGTACACACAGTGAGACATTTGTTTTTTTTTTATCTATAAAAAGAAAGTTTAACATTTTGGCAAAGCTGCTTTCTTGCCAAGAGTTAGATGAGAAGATGGATGCCACTGTGATGTCGGTCTATTAATTATGACGTGACAGCCAGCAGCTGGTTAGCTTAACTTAGCATAAAGGCTGAAAACAAGGGGAAATGGCTCTGTACAAAGGTAATAAAATCTTCCTACCAGCACCTTTTTTAAACGTTATGTGAGAAATACTTCATGGGAACAGGAAGTAGTCCAGCACATAACCCCTTGTAAAAGCTAAGTTGAACAAATGAGATATAACGTGTTGATTTGAGGATGTAAGGTGCTCATGGGCAGATTGTGTCCAAAAAATTTAATTTAATGTGTGTTTGATTTGGTGCTGGGCTTGTAGCATTCAGTGGCTTTATCAGAGCTTTTTTTAATTTTTTTTTTTTTTTAGCTTTTTTAGCTTCCTGCCTCTGGAAACAACCCTGATGAGAGCAGTTTGCGTGAACCAAAACAGTAAAGTTGTGGGCTGTTCAACCCAAAACATCAGCTGGAAGACACTGAAAGGCTCCGTAGAACTGAGGGATAATATGTGGATTCATCATTACAACCCCCTTCACATTCACATCGTCATTTCAGCCATTGTTGATTATTATTATAACAACTTTAATGTAAGAACTAAAGGTTTATTAGTAAGCACAAAAATCACATTAGCTCATAAATGGGTGTCGGGAAATCCCCATGCCACACACAGTCCTGAACCTTTTTGTTCTTGCATAATCAACCCGCTTTGTATCTCTTCCATTGTTGTGCTTATGAGTGCCAAGTGTCAAAACCTAGACAGAGTGGGTGTTACCACCGAACCACATTTACTGAGGAACCTCTTGTTAAATGGGGTGAAAAATATCCTGTCTGCTGAGACCAACGTTACAATGGGCTTTATATCCATGGCTGTTTGTCTCAGTACTTGTTTTTCTTCCTTTGCCTCCTCATAGTCACTTACACAGGACACAGTGGTTTCATGCCTACGGTAGGAGAAGTTTAATTAGTGTAACCTTTAAAAAAACACATGTGTTAATCAGTCCGCCTTCACTCTTCTTCTTCACCGACCAGAATAAAGTCAGAACAGATGCTGTGCCGCCAGGTTTCCACCGACGAAACAGCTTCACTCCGCTGTCCAGCCAAGACCAGATTAAACGACCTCGCCTTTACAGCGTGGGCAACCCTCCACAGACACGCATGTCCCAGGCCCCAACTTTACCCAACATGCTGTTTTCTGAGGCGTCTGAAGGGGCAGAGGTTAGTGCTGTGAATATTACTCTGTATATAATAATAATAATAAAGAAATGAGGAAAAAGTAAATAGAGCAAAGAGGAAATTGTCTGACAACAGTTGTGATAGTTAAAAAATTTAAGTTAGAGTTAAAAAAGTGAATTTAGTTAACAGAATACTGTACTGTATATTTATACGGAAGTCTGAAACTGACAAAAGGCTGTTAAAGTTATGAGTCAAAAATAAAAATGAGTTTATATTAGTTTACAATTATATTGCTAGTTAAATGATACAAAAAATTATAACTTCAAACATAATTCATTTTAATTTTCTATTTACCTTTCACTTTTATTCTTACTCGTTTTATTTTTTAGGAAAACATTTAATAATTTACCTCCTCCCTACACCAAACAAGCAGACTGTGTGTACAGCTATCTTAACAGTTTACAGTTAGCTACCTAGCTGAAACCAACCTGCCATATAAAGCTACACCAGCCTCCACTGCCTGTCATGTTAATCCTCCGTATTGAACTGCATACTGCTGAAGTGACGCTGTATAAGCTCTTGTTACAGTATCTAAAGCTTTTAGTTAGCTACCTAATGGCCACAGTTCATTCTAAGGTAACAAAAACACAACCATTCTTATTTTCAGGTTATATTACACTAATGAAAACATACATTTCTGACAAAAGATCCTCCTAAATTTTACACAATGGACATTTTAATTGATGTGTTCTGCTATATTTCTGACTGCCTTTTGTTGGTTTTGGTACTCTGTATATTTAGATGTGTTCCTCCAGACATCAGAGACCTGAGTTCTCAGTCATGTAGTTTCATGTTTTCCATGTACGTTATGTAGCTGTTTACAACAAACAGAAGTGCCCTTCACAAGCATCTTGGATGTGAAAGGATAGTTTTTTCCAGTGTTGTTGGCCTGAAGGGACCTTTATTCAAATCACTATATGTCAAAAACAGGGAAGGGACAGAAAGGGAGTGTTGTGTTCTGGCTGCTGACCTCAGCTTTTAATATTAGCTCAAGTTCAGTACGTACTGTCTGCTTTCTCTACCTTCCTCGTAGGACTCTCTAAATGGTTTCGGTGCAGCAGACTCAGACGACTGATCTGACCGTTAAAGAGGTATTTTCAGTCTTTTCCTCGTATCTGTCACATGGAACACCTGTACTCTCCACCTCACATATCTCACACATTGGTTTTGCCATTCAACCCAGGCATTTCTCCACATGGATGTATCGCCAGTTCTGAGGACCAACGGTGAAATCCCAACCAGCTTCAGCCATTACATTCTTATGCACTGTATTACGCACCATATCTGTGTAACCTTCAGTTTTTGTTGGATAGGTTATGTGTGTGTGTTAGTGCTAGTTTAGACATACATACATGAACTCAATGCCTTTGCACAGTAGCCTTCAAACTTAGGCTACAATCCACCTCAGATAAATAAAGTAATCTCTTAGCACACTCCACATAATGTAGTCTACAGTCATAATATGCTGTATTAGATGTAGAACATGTTGATTGTACATTTTATACCTCATTGTATGCTATTGCCTTCCATTTAGTGTTGAGGAAAGCCATGCACAGTCTTAGTTTTTCCTCAGATTCTCTCTTAAAGTTACCTGTTTAAACTTTCCAGGTAATGTCCATCCTTCCTCGGGTGGTCTGACAAGATGTAGAAATAATTTTATTTTGAAGGGTAATTTAAAGCAGTGGTGCCCAACCTGGGGGTCAGGACTCCCGCTAGGGGTCGCCAAAGCTTCACAAAAGGTCCCAAGACCTTCTTGATTTTAAGGTGTGTGAGAAAACCTAAAAAATATACACAGTATGAACATAGTAGGCCTATATCTACTATATCTATCTATAAAATAAGCCTAATAATCTGTATAGTTGTTAAAAAATACATAATACAGACAGAGAATTGTATAAAAAGTTCCCTAAACAGGAAATAATCTGCTCAAAATTCATCGGAATCACTCATTTTACACAAACTTCTTGCAGTTACTGAGTTCACTATTGTATAATAATAGTACAGTTTTGAATATAATATGAAATATCCATAAAATATGTCACTTTGTCAGGGGTCGTCAGTGTACTAAAGGATAGAAAAGGGGTCCCTTTAGGAAAGGTTGGGAACCACTGATTTAAAGCATATTAAATTGCAGCTTAGCTTCCAGTGGGCAGACACAAGCTGTAAAAACAAATGAAATGTGTTGTCTAGCCCTATAAAAAGTGCAGCAACTACTGTGCTTTTTCTACTGTGACATTCAGAGGTGTGGAAACGAATCACAAATTTGATGACTTTAGACTGGACTGTAAAAAAAACAACTTTCAACTCAACTTGGACTTTCTTAATACTTTCCTTAGTATGTTATTTAAAAAGAGTGCCATGAATCAATTCATATTTATTCCTCTGTGAAGTAGGTGGCTAACTCTAGAACTATTTTCTAGAACCTGACCATTGTTTTTTTTAAAGATTTCTCTTTTTATTTCATGTGGACACAAAACATGAAACAACCAAGGGTGAGTTGGTTTGATGAGTATTGTTTTGAAGGTCGTAGCCATGTCGGTTTACCAGAGCCAGTGGTGGTGACATACTCATTGACCATAAACCATAAACTCCTTAGGAAACTGTTACTGAGCTAACAAATCAACTGAGAAGTTGGGTCATTTCTCCTCAAGGCTCAATACTATTGTAGTTCTTTTTTGCAATCCACAGAGCTGCCCCCTGTTGGCTGTTAGAAAGATTCAATATTCCTTTATTGTTCCATCTCATTATACATGTATAAGAGAGTAAAATTCTTAGGTTTAAGACACTCAAATGATCTGCATTAGCTCCATTTCACAGACCTGCTAGCTCTGTCCCTTTTTAATTAAATACTCTCAGTAGTAACATTGAACAAACACAATATTGCTTGAAGGAAGAATAGTCCCAATACCAGTTTTAATAAGCATTCCATATTTGTGTGAATTTAATATATTAGTACTCTTCTTTCGGTGAAGAGCACATTATGACTTGATTGGGACTCGAAACTTGAAGTTTAGGACTCGAAACTCTTAAGTCTAACTCTAAGGACTCTGGATTTGAGTGCAAAGACTTAAGACTTTATCTTGTGACTTGCAAAACAATGACCTGGACCCACCTCTGGATATTTATTCCCTTCTTCTGTTCAACGATGCCTACCTGTATGTTTTGCCTTCTACTCAAACAGCAGCTTTTAATATATTCAGCCGCCTGTGATAATGTAAAGCTGAACTTATTTGATCTCCAGAAAATGTATGCAAATCTCTCAATGCATTTTAATTTCTTCATAAGGAAAACCAAATCAGTCATGTACCTCTGATACAATAAAGATACTGTATGTATAAGTACTGCCTTCATAGTAACCATATGGATAATATCCAGTCACATGACTTTGTATGATTTTAATGTCAGGAATAAATCAATTGTTGGTAAAAGTGCCTTTATTTAAAGGACTATAAGGCTGTGACAATAGTAATGAAGAGTTTTAAATATTTTCGCATATACACATGATATGCTAATGTGGGTTTCACTTTAATCAAAGGATTGGCAATAAATTTGGATGTCTTAAAAAGAGCTTTAATGTTATTGCACACTGTGCTGTATATGTTTCATTAAATAAAGTTAATTTTAAGCAGTTTTTACATTGACTTCTGTTTTTTCTAGAGTATTTAAGAGTATTTTGACCTCAGGAAAGCATTTAATTTAGTGAAGAAGTGTGTTAGCTGTAGTATAGTTCCTGTGTGCTAAACTTCATGTCCCTAAAAAGCCGGAGACACTAACATCACCAGAGCTTAAAAAAAACATCTTCTAAAGTCAAATATAGATTTGTAAACTAGATGTTTATGGTAAGATGTGGTGTTAAATTACATATACGGTGCCCTGGATAGCTGACCCGGTCGAGCCGGAGCTCCATGTACCAAGGCTGCATCCTTGCTGCAGCAGCCAAGGGTTCAAATCCGACCTAGTTTTTGTAACTAAATGGAGAAACGCATATAACGGTCCACTCTGTTTGTAATGCTGATAAGATGTCAGATTCTAATAATCTAAACTGATCCAACACTGACATAAAGTTTAGTTATGAACATGATCATTGAGTCACTCCTAACCTTTGTACAACTTACACACACAAAGCTTTGTGTGGCATATTCAGTTCTAAATTAGGAGTTATTATTTTTGTTCTGCTGACTGAATGTTTTATTATGTAACATGCTTTAAATGAATGTGATTTACTTTTATAAACTGCAGTGAGTCATTAGGGAAACGGAGGAGGAAACGTGTCAAATAAACAGTTATATTTCAGAGAATTTAATCTGCCAGTTGCTTTGACGCCTGCAATGAACCTTGAATGAGTGGATTCAGATAAAAAGCTCTGATTAACTTCCAAGCTGATTACAGATATTTGACAAAAAAATAGGCTACGGATATTAAATAGGAATGGATGTACTGTAATGTGTTAGTCATTCTTAGTTGTTTTAGAAAAGTACTATTAATCAAACATAGAACCTGACACATCATCCATTTAACTGGGTGCATCCTGATGCCCATCAAGTCTTGAAGGTTTGGGTCGGAACAACATCTGCAGCTGACATTTATTTTTAATATTCTCAGACAGAACTGCAATATCATTAGTCTCAAAGTATTAGTATCTCCAACGTGTGGCAGAGGCAGAGGGAGTGTAATGAGATGAGTTCTTACCAGCTAAAACAGATGGAGAAATTAAATCTGGGCGAGAGGTAGAAATAATATTAATTTACTTGTGAACTGTACAGTTTTCAGGTAGTTGTATTTTACTTGATTATTTGTGCAACTTCAGCTTCATACTGCACTTCCTTTTAGATGAAATATTGTATGTTTTACTCTGTTCTTATCTGTCCAGACTAACGTGTAAAGACCTTTTTGGCATGTAATCCCTAGAGACAAAGCAATGTCTTCTTGTGACCTCTTGTCACAAGTTGCAACGATGAGTGGTGAGCAGTTCAACCAAATAATGATGAAGAGTGTTTAGGCTTGAGATGATAAAACCATGCAGTATGTTACAAAAGTAAAAATAGAGAAAAGTCAGAAAAGTCATAACTTGTTAATCATCTCATGATACCTTAGATTTATATACTAATATACTTTTAAAGACATATACAGATAGTCTGCTTGGAACAATAATGTGTCTGATATGTTTTTCCAGTACAAAAAATATAATTTCCACATTAAAATCTTTAAAAAGACATCTACTCCTTCTACCTCATGATATAGTATATAAAATACCAGAATCTATGAATATGCTAATTTTGTTCATTTCTAAAGTTTTCCCTCTGTCTCCTACTTCACTGTAAAGTCCATTCTCAGTGTATGTGCACTGGATTAACTTCCAAACTTCCATACTGATCAATTAACCAATCAGACTTTATTTGTATAGCACTTGTCATAGTGCTTCTCACAATAAAACACACACACACACACACACACACACCCCAACCCATACAAAGTAATAAATTAATTTGGAATCAATAAAACACTCAATAAAAAACACAAATAGAAGGAACACTGTCTAATTATTTGGCAGTGAGGAAACACCAGAGGCAAGAACAGGAAAAGATGAAAACTTAAATAAGAAAAGGGGTATATAAAGTAATAAAACTGAGTCAAATGTAGAAATACACAAATAGATGAGGGACTCAAAAACATGTTGGAAAAACTCTGTTATGACTCATATTTGTGAACATATTTTTGAGTAAAAGGGAACTTTAAGTACCACACATGGATAAGCTACTACTTTAAAATACTGCTTACATGTAGTACATGCATAAGGATCTGACTGTTACTTCCCCCAACTACAGTGACTCCAAACCATGCTGGCAAACCTTTGTCATGACTGTACAGGAAATCCAACCAGTTAGCGTTGTGGATTAAAATAACCATAAGTAAACAGACTGAAAACTGGTCTGACCGGGTCAAGAGCCTCATAAGAAACTCATACAGTTTAAGTAGTGTACCGTGAATGAAGAGAACATCCATGCATCCATGCTCTAACATACACTTTTAGGCCGGTTTATTGGGTACAATTAGCTAAAAGTAATCCAGTCTAACTATGCAATTAATCCAAATTTAGTTAAAATGTTCAGTTTTGTTGAAACTGTTTCAGAGAGGTGTTGATTCAACTGTATGGTCATTTTGTAGTTCTGTTCAACTGTGTTATTTTATTTATGTAAATGAGTTAGACAAATAAGCCTCCGTCATATAGTTAAATCAACAAAAACTGAACATTATAACTTTCATGAAGGGAGGATTTATTGCAGAACTGTTGTATTAGATCGCATTAGTTTTAGTTAACTGGCAACTGAGTATATATTCTGTGTAATTTAGCACTGACACATACAGCACTGAAGGGGGTGGGGTTGAAAAAAGGATTTTTTTTACCTGTCTGTTTGGATTCCTTCAAACTTTTAAGATTTTCTCTCCCCTCTATTAGAAAAATGTTTAGTTCTTTCACGACTTTCAAAGTAAGGTTTCTGTTGGATCTTACATGTACTTCAAAAGTCTCAACAAACTTTCTTTCATCTTTATAAGAATGACCAATTTGACTTTTATTCCTATTTAGAGTTCAGTGATAATGGGCTCTTTTTAATGTGTGTTATCTACAGTATTTGTTCTGTTTCTTGCTGTCTTCTTGCTTTCATGTCTGTGATAATGTCATTTAAATCAGCTGGCCTCATTGGCTGTGCCACCCCCTCCCTTATAAATTGCTTCATCTGATCCTCCTGCTGCCACTTTGTAATCTGCCTTTGAGGATTTGTTTACACGCAGCGACACGAACACGACAAACATGAGGACCGTCGGGTGGAGTATTTTGGTTTTATCGTTTGCCTTTCTTGCTTCAGGTAAATTAATATTTCTATAGAATGTTAGCATGAAAATGTTACATATCCACATTTCGCAGATTGTTGATTGTTTTGAAATCCTAACTGACGATTTATTGCATTTATATATATATATATAAAAAAATATATATATTTGAAAAAAAAATAATAGCTCAAGTACCAAAGACATGCTCTCCACCGCCCGAATACCCGCACACCACACTGGACCAGAGATACAAGAGCATGCAGAAGTTTGTCAGCGGGGAGAAAGTTTATTATAACTGCGCAGAGGACTTCACTCCAGTCAGAGGCATGCGGGCTGTGCAGTGTGACGACGGAAAATGGACCAAACTGACTCTAAAATGCGAAAGTGAGTACCTGGCACACATGTTGACAATCAGATCCATGAATAAACAAGGTAAAGAGGCTGTTAAATGTTGTTCTTCCTGATTGATTGATTGATTTGTGACATATTCCCAGAGCTATAATGTGACTTTTAAACAGATTTAAAGCACCAACAGAAGTTACCTGAGTCAAGTGGGTAACCTGCTTGTCATCCCAATACAGTTTAGAAATTTAGGAACCAACTAAATTATATTACTTATCTGAATGCCTACTAAGATACTTGAGAAGACATGAATTTAATTATGGAGCTTTTTATTTAGATAACCTAAACAATTACACTAGATTAAAGGGTAGGTTCAAGCCGTTTAGATCTGTTTGTACTATTAAAGGCTGCAAATAAATCCAAGTTTCCACACTGTCTCTTCATCTGAGTAAACCCAACCCCCCAAAATTTCCTTTTTTGGAAGTTTGCTGTTAAGCTGAAACTCCTGATTCAGCTACATACTGCAGGACCTTTTTTCAGTACTCATACACACTCTTAAGAGTTACTGGTTGCTTTAGTAGTTCCTCCTTTTCATGCTGTCCATGTAGAGCTCTATCCTTTAAATAACATCGTTATCCAGTAGTTTTAGGTTTAGAGTCTGAAAGTAAACAAACGGCTGTCTTGGAATCCCTGATACTACCATTATATTATATTCATAGTCTTTAATTAACTTTGTGGGTGTAGTTAGACTGGATCTGATGTCTGACAATAGAACTGGCTTAAATTCTTCATATCAAAGTTTAAACTGTCTTTTTTGGACTTGCTGGTGCTAATGGCTCAAAAGGAAAATGCAGGGGTTTGCCTCTGTATTTTAATTGGAGATGTCCTGTTATTGACTAAAGAGAGAAACTGTTGACATAAAAGGCAACCACTAGGAAATGATGTAGCTTTTCATGGTTTTATATTTAGTATTTGGTTAAGAAAAAAAGAATAGGTCTACTCTTACTGGAGTTTCTTCACTGGTAATCTGTTCCCTGACCTAATAACACCTGCTCTAATTTGACTTGCGTGATTTGAAAATGCTACAGTACAAACCAATGCATCAAATATTTTGATCCTGAAATGAAACAAAACAATGGGAAATCTTCTGTGCTTGTAGTGACTGCTCAAGTGGACAGTTGAGCTGAAAAATGGTTCAATGTTAAGCTCAGGAACACTTGATTGAGTTCAAGTGTTCAACCCAAGCCTTCTAATGGAAGTACACTACGTTATTAACTGAAATATGTCACTGTTTTTCAGAAAATGTTATAAACAACACATCTTCTGTAAGAAACTGCCCCATAGCTTTCTGGCAAAACTCCCTCAAGTTGGCCTCTGCAGTAGCTTACTGAACCTGGGCTGTTTTTTTGCAGATTTGTAAAATAAAGAAGTCTCTGTCTAGTTTTCTTCATCTGGCAAATCAGATTTCAACCCTACATTCCTGTTCTGATTGGCCATTTACTCTCCATCCCATTTCTCATCTCGTTTCTCCCCATCTCATTTCTAACAGAGAAATCGTGTGGCAATGCCGGGGATCTGCCCAATGGTCAGTTTGAGTATGAAGGGAACTCATACCTCGGGGAGAAAGTTTATGCTGTATGCAATGAAGGGTAAGTTGAAGCCTGAACTATCGTCTCAAACACAAATTCAAAAGATTACTGTGACCACGTTTGACTATACAGCATATCTCCATGTTCACAGATACACTGTGAAAGGACTCGACTACATGATATGCAAGAAGACTGGCTGGACGGGTGACTTTCCATCTTGTGACGGTGAGCAACAGACAAAAGTATTCTTACTCATCTGAAACCCATTCATTGTCTTTACACACTGTAGTTGCTACACCTTAAGAGGATGTCTTAAGTGGGTGGTGTTGAGTAAATACTGACTGTGACGCAGTTTAGTTTAATTTCTTAATGCACTTAAACCTATTTTCTATTATACTAATAAGGTGTGAATCTATTTAGTTGTTCAATATAAAGGTGTGTACGGAGCCCCCGAGGTGACATGAGGGGGGGGGAGAAGAGATTTAAAAAAAGCATTGCAAGATCTCGACTTTGTAACTCGAGATCTCGCAATGATTTTTTTTCTCATGTCACCACGGGGGGCTCCGTGTGTGGTGGTGGTTTTTTTTTTTTTTTTTTTTTAAATGTGCAAATCATGGGTTTGGATTTTTGTATAAGGGGTCTAACAAATCCAAATGTGGGACCTTACCACTGCTGGGAGGAAGTCCATCTCTTAAATTAGGCATAGAAACATTTCTAATCTGCCCCTAAGCTCGTAACATCACTAAGGCTCGCCCTCTGGTTGATTTAGTAGCACACAATAGACTGTGCAGGTTAGTCCTGTAGCATGTGAAGGACTTAAATACATTTTATTTGAATGCCACAGAAATACTCTATTGATCCCTGGGGGAAATTTGTTTCCTGGCCCCCATGTTAAAGGACCAGTGTGTAGGACTTGGTGGCATCTCGCAGTGAAGTTGCAGATTGCCACTAATTAAACACCATGTGTGTAGGAGAAACTACGGTGGCTACGAAACTTGAAAAATGCGACAGGCCCTATCTACAGCCAGTGTTTGGGTTGTCTCTTCTGTGCTACTGTACAAACATGGCAATTCAAAATGGTAGATAAAAACAGCTTTAAGGTAACAACACTAATTCCTATATCCAGGTGATTATACACTAATGATTAAGTGCGCATGTATATTTTTCATAGATCTTCAAGTAAATACAGTGGGCATGAAGGGAAGCTAGTTTACCATGATCTTATGCCATGGTCACCTCTTCACCATCTTCACCCAATTATAACTAGTTTCCCTATTGTCTTTGTAGCTGCATTCCCTTTCATTTGTCGTAATCTTCACAGCCATTGGATTAAAACAGGTTAAAAAAAAAAACATCTGCCGTTATTTGACTCGAAGGGAGCCAATAAAAGTGAGATTGTCTAAAAATATATATATATTTATTGTATGTGTCAGGCGTCTTAAACTTGTCAACGAGGTGAATTTTAGTGTGCCAACAGACAGTGCCAATCAATTCAGTGGACAAAATGCCAGAGCTGTATAATTTTCATCTCTTCAGAGGGAGTAGCCACCTGTTCCAGGCCTGCCGTGGCCAACTCTGAGAGCAGTGGTGGAGATGTTTCTGTGTACCAGGTGGGAGACAACCTGACCTTCACCTGCAGTGAGGGTTTCCAGCTGGATGGAGCTCAGCAGATCACCTGTGGTTCTGGTGGCCAGTGGCAGCCTCTACCCCCTCGGTGCCTGCCTTCACCTGATAAAACTCAGGATCTTGATAAAGAAAGTGAGTTCAGTATTAGGATTTTTAGGCGGTAAGACGAACTGTCATTATCTCAATGTCATTAAAAGGAGCTGGTCAAATATCTTCAACTTTCCACTATCTGTTCAGCAGGTGGATGTGGTGTGCCAGTAACCAGCAGCAACTCAAATGCCCACCTTGCTGACATGTACATCACAAAGACATCTTTTGCTTCTGGTGACACAGTCAATTACACGTGCGACGTTGGACACATTCAAGCAGGAGGCAGCAGGTATCGCAGGTGCATCAACGGGAAGTGGACAACACTGCGGCTGAAATGTGAAAGTAAGAGCTTTTTTAATAATCCTTCAGTTAGACTTTCATTCAAATCTTTATGAATGTTGTATGCTTCACATTGTTACTGTCAACTATTTACCATAGCATGCTGCAGTGACTTTTATAGTCCTGCTGACAAGTGATGTAAATATAAAAAAACACGGTCATAATTTTTTTTCAATCTACAAATAGGAAAGCCATGTGGCTCTGCAGGAGAGATTGCAAATGGACAGTTCATGTACTCAGGAGTTGAGTTTGGAGACACTGCTGAAGCTGTGTGTGACGAGGGGTGAGGAAATGTATTCTGTGCTGCTTTCTTTATATACTGTTAAAGATTTTCTCCATTGCTGAACATGTGGCTTTACATACTTTCATCAGGCATCATCTTGTGGGACGGGCAACCAGAACCTGCACGAGTCGAGGCTGGGATGGACGTGTTCCTGTCTGTGAAGGTGCAGTGACTGCATCATTTGTAAGTTGCCCTTTTTAATTTCCCTTCTCTTTCGCTGTGCCAACACTACTGTATCTCTTCCAGCTGTGGTGTGTGGGGAGCCTCCAGAAGTGCCAAATGCAAAGATAGAAGGCCGTCAAGAGCCACCTTACACATACAGGAGTGCCATTCGCTATCGTTGTAGTGTGGGCTTCCTTAATGGACCAAGGGAGATTTGGTGTACAGAGGATGGGACATGGAGCGACTCTCCTACTAAATGCGAAGGTCTTTAGATGCTATTAGTGACACAACACGTTTATCATTTTTGTACAACTTTATTTCCCTTTTTTTGTTGACATGACTAAAATAAAAACTGAGTTCTATTTCTTCACAGAAATAACATGTCCATCTCCAAAAGTGCCTGGCGCTATCTGGGCAGGAGCTCCAAAAAAGCTGTATCAATTCAGGGACACCCTTTCAATCGAGTGTTACCGGGGTTACAGAAGCACTGGCCCGAGCGACGTCACCTGTGGTAATGATGGCCGATGGTATCCTGGCCTCCCCAGATGTACACGCATATGTAAGTAATCAATTCTTTGTGTATGAGTTGCTTGATATTAGGTTTTACAGCACTTTACAAATCTGATTTACCACCTGTTATTTCAGCACCTCGCACCCACTGGAGGGGCTAATGCACTAGCTGAAGTGTGACACTACAATATTCAAGCCAACCTGTGATCACCAGCAGTCAGTGGAGGATGGAAATAATGGTCTCAAGCAAAGCTACACAAGATCTTCCTTCTAAAAAGAAATAATTCTTTTTAAAATCCACCTTTAATAATGCACTAATAGCAATTGTATTTTCTTATTTGCTTGTAAAACTTGTATGAACTCATTATACAGACATTAAAATATGTTTGAAATGAAGCTGAAGTACAGTATGTTTATTTCAATAAGTGTTTTGGGCAGTAACAAGTACAAACTTGTTTCATTCACCTCTGTACATAGATTTTTTTTTTCTTTTTTTACAGTTGATAATGTTATGTGTATCATCTCTATAGACTAAACGGTGAGTGAGCATTTCATGAACAAACAAGCTACAAGAAAACAAAAACACCAATTCCATTCATTTAAAAAGACAATACAAAATCCAGACATTTCTTTACATGAGCAATAACAATTCAAGTGCAAATATCATTATCAACTCTATGATACATCATAGCAAACTCTCGTTAAAAGGCAATAATTCACAAAACTAATCAGGTTGCAGGAAAGAAGCTGATTCTGGGCAGAGGGGGACTTTTGGGTGACTGAGCACGCTGGGATGCTGCCTGTTGGCATCTATTCTAGTACATTGAGACCAGATGTACAGAATTCTGTGACTGAAGTTAGTGAGACGTGTATATAGAGGAATATTCAGACTGACATCTTCGTGGCTTGGCCCAGCATCGCCCTTAGCTTTGACAATGTGGTCGAAATCCCTTTGTCATCCTAAAGTTACTTAAAATCACCATTTGGTACATAAGTGTACCATTTATATTTTTTTAAATTTACACGAGTGAGGACAAAATGACTCCCCGAAAAATTAATTAGATATCAGCGCAGGCATCGACTCAATTTATGTTTTTAGAGGGTTGAATATGGGTTAAGGGGCTGGGATTATCATTGTACCAATCTGACTGCAGTGGTGGTAATGAATTTAAAGGAATAGTGCCTAAATTTTGGGAAATACTTTCTTGCAAAGTGTCCTTACTTAAGTCATCGCACCCAGCCAAGAAACAGTGCAACACAACTCCCTGTAAAACTGCAACGTGTTGTACTGACTTAAAAAAAAAAAGAGATGTAACCGGTTAGTTAGCTGAGCTGTAAAGCTGCTGCTAGGTGGATTTTGCTTTCTTCGGGCAGAGCCTGGCTAGCGGATTTCAGTTTCCAGTCTTTATGCTAAGCTAACTGTTCCATGGCTGTAGCTTCACATTTATTGTAAAGACATCAGTGGTGTCGATTTTTCTCATCTAAACTCTTGGCAAGAAAGAATAAGCGCATTTCCCAAAATATTGCACTACTCCTAGATCGTAGCATGAAGTGAAGTGTTAGATATTTACTTAACTTATTTTACCCTGTTTTGGTCGCTGTTTTGAAATCGCAAAGAATATCTTATACACACCAAATACTCTATTACATTTTTTGACAGACTTAATATTTTAGTGTTTCTCTGAAAATGGGGAAACTTCCTCTGCCTGTAGTCACTGTTTAAATATTTAATACAATGAGTCTCAACAAGACTGCAGCCTAAACACATTTCACAAGCTTTGTTGGGGGTCACAATAGGGTGTAACCAAATTTTTAAGGTGTTTTCATTGCACTTTGTACTACAAAGGTAGGATGACGTGTTCTGTTTAGTGCACAAAACAAAGTGACCCACCATTCTTTTTGTTTTTTTTTTAGGGGGGGCGGGGGCGGTCTTTGGAAGAGCTGTCTTCATTAGGACAGAACAAACTCTGAATGGGGTGTTTTTTGGAGGGGGTACTGGGTGTCTTTGGATTTGAGATGGGCGGGACATAAAGGGCAAAGAGTGATTTTCTTTTTTTGGGGGGGTTTGTCCTGCATTTAAAAACAAAAATAGGATTAATGAATTCAACCCTCGTCTAATTTATTTTCATTATTTACAAGATTGAAATAAAAACAATAAAACTGGTAGTCCACAGACCGGCATTGTGAGATTATCAATTTACTGTGTGTGAGAACTAAATTATTTTTAGATGTGGAGCTTCCTTTTTTTTTTTTTTTTTTTAGACTATTAGTGTGTAGAATACATCAGAAAGACAATATGAGATTGAAGAATTAAAGTGACCTTTTTAAAAGAAGCAGCAAACATTATGTCCCTCAAAGACATTTCTCTCTATCTCTCTCTCAGAGATATGTTCCACTCGACATCACATTTTCTCATTTCTGTGGCTCTCACAATTATTACTTTGTTATTCATCTCCCAGATGTCTACTATGTTCCTGGAATGATAAACCATCTTTTTTTGTATCTGCTTTTAAGTTGGCTTAAACAAACAAACAAAAAGAGCAACAGAAATTATCTGAAGGTTGGAAAACGTTGTTACAGTCTAGACAGATGGAACAAAACATAGATTAACTGTTTTAACAGTAAAACCCCTGGAAACTGCTCTAAGAGCTCAAATATAGTAAGGCTTTGAATGACGTCGAACGCAGCTGCGACATGAATTAACAACCGCTCCTCCTCGAGGACAGCACACAGACACTGAAGATGGAACCAGGGTTACACAACACTTACACAACACTTACAGTCATACTTAATGGTAGGAGTTGGAGCTGGACCGCTCATTTAAGCAAACACAATAACAAGCTCTATCAAGCTCAAACCGCACACACAAAACGTCACTCCTACCATCTGAAATAGGCGTTTCTATTGTTTGTTTTTTTTGTGGTTTCATTGCCCAACACAATAGAAACCAAACCCTCTCACGTACTCTACACCCCCACTAAATGCTTGAGCTCAGGATTGCAGACCTGTGCTGAATGGAAACTGAGAGAGAACCTGAAACAAGTTATTTTCAGTATTTCTCAGGTCTGCATAGTGTTTATTGTCAAAGCCTATGGAAAATAAGAGAGTAAACGTACTAGTATGTTTGTGTGTTAAGTCCTGCGAGAGTTGCGGGATGTAGCCTGTAAGGTGGAGGGGGATGTCGGGGAGGGAGGGGGGTGGGGGTTCACGATCCGGTGCTTGAGCAGCTGAGTAACTTTACTTGTAAGGTCTCAGGAAAGCGGAGACTTTGCTGCTTATGAGACGTATGAAGGAGCGAGGAAGCATCTCGTTGGACTCCCGAGTGGTGTACTTAAAGTAGTTATTTGGGTGAGCCAGCACATCAAAAAGAGTCTTAATCAGTTTTTTATCCTGTAGAGGAAAAAGAAATGGGTGTGAACTCTAGACATAATCACATATTTCCATCCTTAATAACAGTTTGAATTACATTTGAAGCTCTTACACAATGCTGGAAAACAATAACTCACTCATCAGACGACATTAACAAATCTTTTCAATATCAATGTACTGTTACCGTCTGACTCATGCAAGTACTTTTTGTTAATTAAGCTTAATAACCACACCCAGGTTGTCTTAACAATAAATGAAGGGAGATTTAAACACAGTGAAAAGAAATCTAGATGCTAACCTTGAGGATTTCTTGATGGTTTTCTGAGGCATAGAGTCTTCCATCTCGCACTATGTCCTCTACGAGCTGTTCATAGTCCTCTGGATTTAGAAAAACACAAAACAAGTCATGTCATGAGATGCTGAAAACAGATGTACACATATCACACATATCACACAAAATAAGTAAGCTTGTGAAATAATATCAATACACTCCCTTTCACTTAGTTTATTATCTCCTATGGGATAGTTCAGACCATTTAATGTAAAATATGCACTGTAATATTAAAGCGTCCTCTAGTGGTACGTCTAGCAATGTACATAGTTTAGGTTTTATCTAATTTTCTTTTGCAGTGCTCACAATATTGAGAAATTTAGAAAAATGTAGGCAGCAACATCTTTTTCCAGATGTTTCAGGAAAGGTGGGATGCTTTTTCAATGTTGTGAGTAGAATTAGACAGATAACCAATATTAGCTTATTGCAGATATATCAAACATTAACAAGAGACTGCAAGACAGATGTGTTTGAATTTAGAAACTGTCGCAATAACATTGTTTGTCCACCAGAGGGCAGTCACAAGTTTACTTTACAGCTCTAAAATGTCCCACTGAGTGTATATGACTATATGTCTGACCCCATTTGGGCCCTCTTCTTCTGGTAAGACTCAAATTAGTAATTCTCAAGTTGCCCAGAGGACACCAAGAAAGCTTTATCTTCGTTTAAATCTTTCCTCAAAACATTATTTTAGAACTGCATTTTCTTAAATTGTTTAATTTTGTAATTGTAAATCTTGAATTGTGCTTCTACTGCATTTACATTTCTTAAATTGCTCTTTATATAAATTTTAATTATTTGTATTTTAAATTTAGATTTTATGATTTGGTGAAGCAGTGCTACATAAATAAAGTCATAATTACATATCTTAGTCACAATTCTTATATTATATACTATATATTTGAGGAAACCTCATAAGAAATGTTTAACAAATATTGATATCTGTGTCTAGTATCAGTAGGGCTATAGTTGACAAAGACAAAAAAGAAAATCAGGGTGGAGCAGGAAATTTCAGAGATGGATATCTTAAAAGCTGGACAAATCAAACCAAAACTATCTGCATGGCTAAGTTACCACTAGTGAGAAACACAGAGTCACAGAGTTTATCAGGACCGTTCATAGTTGCTGGAGTGATAAATGAGCTACATACCATCATAAGTAACGTAAGGGATCTGAAAGCCCCTGGCGCTGTTTGCCTCATTGGACTTAAAGTTAATCCAGAGACGTCTGGAGCGAGCTGTGAAGGCGATTGGCCGCTCGTACGTCTGACACGTCTCGTAGGTGGTGATGGATGTGGCTGACCCTTGCAGGGGCACAGAAAGGACAATGGTGACTAATCGGGTTTTCAGAACTGCTCCTTGTATGGTGCAATTATTTAGAGTATAAACACTAAATTCCACTGAACCAACAACTGGAAATGAGACTCACAGTTCTTCCTCATAACCAGCACATCTCCACATTCATCCTCTGAGGGCAGGAAAATCTCTGGCACCACGATTAGGATCTTGCGCTTGCTGGGCGGGTTGATGTTCCAGATACACTCCACATTAGCAGGGTAATTACCGGGATAGTTAGGTGACTCAATATAACCCATGAATTCACCCATCTCACCACCACATTGCCTGTCTAGACATACACAAACAAAACAAATTAGCTTCCAGCTCATGGATAAGAAATCTGACAACACAAAACAGTTATTTTCATACTCACTCTTGCACTGCGAGACACTTGTGGCACCATCAAAATCAGTGGTGGTGTTCCCAGGGCAGGAAATACAGTAGTTCTGTCTAAACTCTGTCTGATACGTCCCCACTGGGCAGCGGATACACCGGTGTACTGTGGTGTTGTAGTAATGACCTGGAGAACACTGAACTGCAGGGTAGAAATAACGATACACGTTTAGTGGGAACAGTTTTGGAGATTATTTGAATACATTTTCTTTCATTGGCTGCATAAAAAGAGCACAAGCTGACCTTTAACTTCACAGTCATGGAAGGAGCTGGAACCTTCCCGCTTGGTGCTCAGTCCTCCCCCACAGGGGAAGCACAGGGTCCGCCCCAAGTCTGGTTGGTAGGCGCCCTGAGGGCACGGCTGACAAGGTTTGAACCCATCACTGGAGAAGTACCCCGTCGGACACTGGCCTGGATTTGATTTGTACAACATGGAGAGACGTTTGATTAAGGACACTTCACAAGATCAGAACTACATCATTAAAATCATCCCTGGGACTTTAAACTACCTGCACAGGAGGAGATGTTTCGTGCGCCAACAGGGCCGTGACCGTCGCTGCCAGGGCAGAGGTCACAGGCCAGCTGCCCCTCCTTCTCCTGGAAAGTGCCGGGCGGACACTGGACACAGCGCTCCTGCTCACCGTGGTAGTAAGACCCCGGCAAGCATCTGACTGAGAGAATATCCACAACGGCTCCAGTCAGATACGACACACTTCACTTTAATCAGTTAAAACATAAACACAAAACTTGATCCGAGTTCTTATTTTCAGTTTATTGGTCAATGCACTTGTTCCAAGTAGGGACACACTGATTTATTGGCTGATGTTCACCTTGTTGACTGACATCAGCCTATTTGCAAAAAAGATGGCATTCACCAATGTCACTGACTGGTATGATCTGTTTTGATTTAGCAATTTCTCCAGTATCCGATTTGGAAATCACCAATTCCAAATCGGATACTGGAGAAATAAACACCTCGCACGCAAGTACCGTTGTGCTCCATGCAGCAGCACGGACAGTGAGCAGCTGTTCAGCTCTGCATCTCACATCTTGGACCAGAAAAGAAACAGACTGTGCTGTAACAAGGCAGAGATTATATCTGAAGATTTATTTGTTTTTCTGGAACAAAAGGGTGAATAAATAACGACAAAAAACTTTGGTCTCGGCCAATTTGTTATTTTAAACATCGATATCTGCCTAGAACATCCCAATCGGTGCATCCCTAGTTCCAAGCACAAGTGACCCAGTAAACTATACACTTAGTAGCCACTTTATTAAGTACACCGATTCAAAACGTAATAATCAGCCCTGCCATAATATCTACTTTTTCTTTATGTTCAGTCCATAATGTTCAGTTTTTGTTGATTGGAAATGCGTAAATTCAATTATATGTATATTACTTAGGTCATAAGTAATAAAGGCCTCTTACATAGGAGGAGCACAATATTAGAATCATCTGAATATAATGAAGTCGTCTACAACCCCAACATCTAACTATAACCTCAAACATATGACCATGACAACTCTATGACCGTGTTAACAAAAATTAAACATCCTAGGAATCGTAGATGGCAGAAGAGTTGTATTGGACTGAATTATTAGACTGTACAGGTGTACCCACACTCCTGATCCAGCTCTCTGGTCTTACCACATCGGCCACTGTCCCTCTCCCAGCCCGGGCCACAGTTCTCCTGACTGGGAGTAGCCTGGGGAAGTTTTTGGGCCACCTCATACTCCAAACCAGCAACTCGGATCAGGAAGCGCTCCTGATTTATGGACTTCTTCAGAGCCTTGATATACGTCTTCACCTGCTTCTCCATGCGCTGTCTGAGGCAGCTGAGATTGCAACTCCCTGGTTATCAGTAAATAAAACATAATGTGTTCCAGTCACAAGCACACAGAAGACCCTAACTAAAATAACATATTTTGTGCACTGCACATTAACTTACATGCTTTGACTAATGATAAATAATCTGTTGCTTGTACAGTAAAATGATCAACACAGTGTATTGTTTAAGTTTACTGACCTGTAGTGTCTCCAGGTTTGACCTCAGCTTCCAGCTCCAAAGTGATGCGTGTCACCTCTTTGTTAGAGGGGTTGCGAGCACGCCGCCCTTTTGCTTTCTTAGAGGAGTCACATTTGAGGTTGACAAACGTCACCAGGCAGTTGCTGCAGGGCTGCCCGCCTCCTGTGGACGATACATCACGTTCTCTGTGAGGAAATACTGTATAACATATATCGGTCAACCCCAAAGCAGAGTTATTAAAGTTTGGTATTTTTCATTAGTTTTTGTTTAGTTCAGTTTTAATTGTTTAAATTTTTTTATTTTTAGTTTCATTTTAATAAGTTTTAGTTTTTTATTATATTATTTGGGGTATTTGTCAGGGGCAAGGTTAAAGAATAGCTTTTACAATACAAACACATTGACTCACAGTCATGTAAACATCTCAGTCTCAATAAACATATGCACCAATGCTTCCTCGTGGTTCTTCTGTTGAAGCACCAATTTGACCAAATTGACAAAGACAAAAACACATTTCTTGTATTTACTTTATTTAAGTTAGTTTTGTAAGTTAACAAATATCGTTTTGTCTAGTTTTTATTTTTATTTCTTTCTAGTTTTAGTCAACTATAATAACCTTGCCCCAAACACACATTCATATTAATTATAATGTTTGAGAGTTAAAGGCTATCATTTCTTGAAAGGTATGACTCAAGGGGAGCAGACAAATCATTAGCAGTTATATTAGGCTTGCAACAAACGATTGTTGTTGACCTGTCAATATTTGTTTGGATTGACTAATTGTTTTGTCTATACAATGTCAGAAAATTGTGAAAGATGTAAAATGCTAGAACCACATTGCTTGTTTTGTCCAACAAACACTCTAAAACCCTCTTATATGACAAAGAACAACAACCAAACATTTAAGCATCTGGCACCGGTGAATATTTGGCATTATTGCTGGAAAATGATTAAAACAGTTGCAGCTAAAATATCTGTCAAATTACAAAACAATTAATTATTCGTTTCAGTATATCCCTTTATATTCCCCCAGATAACAGCATGTAGTTACAGCATCACACACACACAGATTAAGACTGACCTGGTCCAAGTGTCCGTCCTCTGTCCTCCGTCCTTCCGGTCAGTTTCGGGTGCAGGTGACATTTGGCGTTTTTGATCTTGAAAGAAGCCGTCTGCTTCACTGGAGGGGCCAAAGTCTCTACAGACAAACACAGCACAGTGGGTAGGAGCACACTGCAACATCACACTGCAGCCCAGCCAAGACTGGATTATTGAAAAGTGTTTGATTATGGGAATCTGGAGGGCAGCGAACCTATGCAGCTCTGACTGCTGCTGGAGTTGAGCCTTGAAGGGGACTTCCCTCTCAGGATGGGGATACCACAGCTGACTGAGTAGCTGCTGTCAGACTCTGCGAAAAGGTCACACACACAGAAAATGTTTAAAATGTTGAATACAAAAAAGGCTTCTGTTAGGTGTTTTGTGATTGCCCTGACTGTGGGTGACATACCTGCCAGATAGTGAGCCTTGGAGGCACAGGTAAGAGAGCAGCTCTCTTTCTTGCCTGTCTTGCTACAGGTCAGAGTGGCCTTTGGTGCCACCAGTCCAGGAGGACATTTCACCAGCTCTGAGGGACAATAAAACCCACACGGAATCACACACTGTTGACGAAGATAGCTGAAGGAGTGAGAGAAATCACCCAGGCAGACACTGTCTATGAGTTAACTGAGTGTGTGTACGTGAAATAACCACAGGGGGGCAGTGCTGCTACATACCAATACAGTCTTTCCTGTTCCAATGCAGCTTGTACCCTGGTGGACAGGTACATTCGTAACTCCCCAGAGTGTTGATGCAGCCATATTTACAACCTCCACGATTTATACTGCATTCATCAATATCTGTGAATAAATAAGTTAACATGTAGACATTTAGTGGACGTGCATACGCATCACTAAAATGACTAATTGTACACACCTACCCTATTTAACTTTCTAAGATTCTGACGCAAAAAACAGGAAAAGGAATTTCATTGACGAGAAACAATGTGGTCAATCCGAAAAGATCTGGAGTCAATTTTGTTGAATGAAATCAAAGAGGAACTGGAGTTTTAAGAAACAGCACAGCTGTGAACCAGGAGTTCCTCAGGGGTCAATTCACTTTATCCTGTCAGAGTCACATTCTAGGAAGATTAATGTGCTGGCGTGTAAACAGAAGTGATTCCTCGTTTTGATGTCGCCACATTCAATTTCATGGTCAAAACTTCTTTGCTCTTCCGCGTGGAAGACTTGTGGTGAGCAGTAAATTATAATCACCTTTTCAAACACATGCTGAGCTAAAACCACTAAAAGCATCCGGGATCCAGATGCAGGCTGGCTGCCATTGACGCCAGACAGAAAATTAGTTTAGTGAGTAGAGCTGGGGATGCGGCAGGCTGCGGACAAGCGGCGGAGACACCGGGAAAGAGATAGAGATAATGGCAGTGATTGATGATCTGGCCTGCTGATATGAAATGCTCTTCCTTGTCTCATTCAATTATTCACCCTGAATAAAAACAGTCTGCGTGCCTATGCACTCCCTGAAGAAGATGATGACTTCATCAACAGCACTCTGCTGATGTGTATCCAGGACTGCTTGAAAATGTTGTGAGATGCGCTGCTTATCCTCCGCATCAAAGCACTCAATTTAAAGGACAAAGAACTCTAATGAATATCTGATAGAAGCAGAGCTCATCTGCCAGCCACTGTTGTTTTGACTTCTTTGTTACTCCCATACTTGAAATTTAACCAAATAGATGTATTCTGACCTTTCTCCAGAGTCTTTTTTCTTTGCGTGCTCTTACAGAAGAGAGCAGAGGATGAGTCAAGACAGAAAAGAACAGAACAAAAAAGACAAATTGACATTTAGACTCAACAATTGTTTTGTGTAATGGAGAGGAATTTCAGGATGGGTTGGGGAGTTCATGGAAATGTTATGTTAAATTTTAATCACTTTTGTGTGCCTATTCATCAACATCAGCAACTCCCAGTCCAAACATCGTAACTGAAGCACAATCTGGACAGCTTTTTATTTCCAATAAACTTTAATATATCAACTTAAGCTCTGTGAGGTTTTGGGGGATTAAACTCTCCTAGATCGACGTATACATACATTTGTCAGTACCAGAAGGAAGTATTTCTGTTGAGGTCAATGCTGGCTGGATCAAATGAGGAAAATTGAAAATACTTTAAGTATTTAGTCACAACTGCTCTGATCTGTCTATTTTCTTACCAGATAAGCAAAAAATGAGCGGATTGTTTTGCTAGCTGAGAGGGAGAATGGCTGGATATACTCTCACTTGGGAGGAATGTTGACAGGCCTCGGCACAATGCTTGACAGCGGGTCACTGACCTAATTGGGTTTGTTTAGGGTGAGTCTATTGTTAAACACTGAGCACAGTTTTCTGGATTGTTTGGCAGCTATATTTCGTTTGATAAACCACACAGGGAATAACATAACCTTGGTTATGGCCGGGAGTGAGAAAGTACAACAGGGAGCGCCGTAAATCTCTGGGGTTATCTAACAGTTCCGACAGCACCGATGAAAAGCGAGGGGAAATCATTCATCACTGACTCTCTCAACAATGGTATAGAGACTCATTTACGCCTGACCATCTCCTCTCCTCTCAGCAGCTCAGTGTGGCCTGATCACAGTCCATCATGTGAGTAAAAGCCTTACAAATCCAATTCTGGTGCTTTTATTACCTGAACTGACAGCTAATATAGCTGCCTATGTGTGGAATGGATCCCATGAACCTCTTAGACCCATTCGTATTACAGTTTGTGTAATTCTAACCATACATAGAGTGAGAGTAAAATATAATAGAATCCTATAGCATTACAGCCATCTCTCTGACTCAGTTTTGAGTAAGCATTATATGAGCTTCAAAAATATTTATTGTTATTATTATATTTATTGTTGGGTCACTTGAATGGATTGCTTATTACTCAAAGATGTTCCCGTTATTTTGTCCACCTCGAGTATGTAGTACTTGCATAGTAAGAAACGATTCCTTAATGTCCTTTTTCAGGCATTTTTAACTATTGGATTGTGACAGCAGAGACAAAGACAGGAAACACAGGGAGAAAGAGGAGTATAATGTGCAGCAAAGGTTCTCAGTTGGGCATGTTGCAGTAAGATGGTGTGTATCAAAAGTTTTGGACTTTTTGAGGGTGTAACTAACTGCACTGTTTGTGCAGAACCCATGGTTGCACACATCTGCACATTACCACTCTCCGGTCTCAGTAACACTCCTCATTCTACATTCTGTTGCAACATTCCTGATCAGTAGACCTGTCAAACTACAGACAAAAAAAACACAGAACAAATCACTGCCAAGCTATGTATTTCGAGTACATATGCTGTCTCTCTCTCTGTCTCTCCCAGAACTACTGTGAGGCCCTGAGGCGCTGGAGACAGCAGCAGATTTTAACTGGTGATACGCACTCCATCAAAGGGACGCCGCAACACCCTGATGTGCTCTGGCGGGCCTCTTGCTGCCTGCCAGGCAGATCTAACGCGCCCCCACACACTACCTCCTGACACCAAAGGCTGTTTCTGCTATCTGTTCCACACCAGAGTACAGTAGGTACCTACTAATGTTTGATGGACATGGTCATACTTCACCTTGAAGGACCACAACTGCAGTTTTTCATGTTTTAGTCCATTAACTACAGCACAAATAGTCTACACTTTACATTACTGCCAAGTGTACCGTAAGTTCTTAGATTGATTTCCTGCCTTCCAGGCAGCAACCTGTTTCAGCTCATTTCAATCCATTTGAAAATAAACTTGCAGAGAATTAAAACTGGCTGGAGATGCAGTATGTAATCCATCAGAGTCACTTAGTTACATTTAGTTATTATAAGAACACAGGTGCATGCAGGGACTTTTCCATGTTTTTATTCTTTTCGGATGCTGTGATTTACGAGTCAGCTGGTGAAAAGATGAACAAGAAAGAACCGCTAAATGTTTACTCTGATAGATTACCTTTCAAGATGATTCAAGCTGACTAGTGAAGTTGATTTTCATACATTATCTAACTAGGCTAAGAGTCTACAGACCGAGGAGCAGCTCTGTGAGGCTGCAGACAGAGGTGCTTTAAGCTACATGTTAACATCAACAAGCTAACATGGTGATGTTTAGCAGGTATAATGTTCAACATCTTCACCATTTATTGATTTTTCCTCAGATTTTAATTATGTACAGCCTTTTTTTTTTTTTTTAGCCGATAGGTTAAAGAGCATCCACAAGATTGATCCCTGCCTGATATGATGACTGATGGACTGAACAGAAAGGTCACCATGTGTGAAGGTCAATGGAGGGTTTTTTCCTCCACTGGACCGCTCCAGGGTTGTGTCCTCTCACCTCTTTTATTTGTCTTGTACGCTAATGAGTGCCCGAGCCAACACGTGAGACAACATATTATTACGTTTGCCAACGATTCTGTCATTGTGTCTCTTCTCAGTAGTGATGACCCTAATCCTGGCCCTGCAGAGGCTGGTGCCATTCATCCTTGTTGGACATGAATGTGTCCAAAACTAAAGAGATGACATTAGATTTTAGGACTAACGCTATGATCATCTCTCCTGTGATGGTTAATAATCAGGCTGTTGAGTTCGTGCAGCAGTACAAATATCTTGACACTGTAACGGACGACAAGCTGACCTTCGAGTTTCACACTGTCACTAGGTTTAAAGTTTTAATGTTGATAATGAATTAAATGGTTTATTCCTGTTTTACTGAACCAGTCTTCTTTTGTTAGCTGCTATGGGTTAATTACCATCAAAAACAGTCAAAACATAGTCAAAGTGTGCAGCAAAATTGCAGGCATGACCTTAAATGACCTTCCACACCTGTACAAGGTGAGGTCTTTGAAGGCAGCCCAGTCTATCCTGGCTGATCCTAACCACCTCCTGTCTGAGGAGTTTAAGTTGCTTCCATCTGGCCACAGATACATTCTGTCAAGACGCAGGACCAACAGACTGTAACGCTCATTTGTTCCTGCTGCCATTGGCCTTTTAAACCATTTTATGTGATCTTTGTACTATAATTATGGTTTATTATTTGTTTACCGTTGTCTGATAGCTATGTGGTTATGTAGTTACTGCTGGCTGTACTACAAATTGCCCCTTGGGGGTAAAAAAGATATCCTTGACCTTAGCATGCTAACATTGGCTAATTAATACTAAACAGAAGGTACAAGACAGATTTTTTGCAGGTATCTGGACATAAACCAAAGTATTGGACAAACTGACCTGATGATGGCGCTAAAAGAAACGTAAATGGATTGCCAAAGTAATTATGAATCAGCAATTATTGAAAGTATATAAAAACCTTTAATGTATCAGCTAAAACTATCTGATATGGTCCACAGCATATTGTAGAGAGCTTTATGTGAGCTGTCAGTAGAAATCAAAATTAACATTAATAATTTACTTCTAGTGTAGTAATGTTTTTAAGAGCAACTAATAGAGGGTTAGCAGAGAGGTGTAGGGTGCAGAGAAAGAGTGATTGAGAGGAAATCAAGAGACGAGGCGTGGGGGGAACAGACATTCTGGCTTACCTCCACAATGTGCCAAGCCGTAGAGGACGTAGCCTTTATGACAGAGGCACTGGAAACTGCCGGCAGAGTTGACACAAAAGTGGTCACAGGCGCGGTCAAAAGAGCACTCATCAATGTCTGTATGGAGAGAAAGACATGCTGTTAGAAACTTCACTAACGGTTCAACAAATTACACAAAAAAGATCTTTTGATTTTTCAAACAGGATTCTTCCATCCCTCTGTCATGGCACTTTTTCCTGTTTTCATCTTGGGTGCTGTATTGTATTCATTGTTTGTCATGAATTGCAGTGGCTCAAGTCACATGTCGCAAACAAAGGAAGGAAGAAAGGAAGACGTCTTCTGTTTGTTACTTGGTATAGTGGTTGACCTCCTGGAGTCATGCAGTTTTCCATTTCGATGCACTGAAATGGAATTTTCTAAGTATTTGAAATAACAAGCGGCCACAGCAGGAGTCAAAAGAAAGTCTGCTCTTCACCTGATAATAGGAGCTGAAGTGCCCTTTTTTCCTCTCCACATAAAACCTGCCAATCACCTTCACCTTTCTCCTCTTAACCATACCATAAATGATCCAGTATTTTTAGAAACCCCAACATCAACAACTTCTCATTCTTTTGTTCTGAGATCATATAGATATTTGTTTCAACACATTGTAAAAATGATCATTGTAGGATGAAGCTGGCTTTATTCTTTGGCCCTTTGACGCTGTCAGCCACTTCACACCTGAACATTCACATTGCTACAGCTACTTCCTGCCTGTCAGTAGCCTCTCTGTGGTAATCTTTTTGAGCTTTTCTGCTCTCTTACATGTGCATCCTGATAAGTCACTTAAATGTCACAGGCTGAAAGACCATAAGGATTGATACTTGAAGCTACAGGAGATGGATGACATTTGGTTTTATTACGATCAAGGTTTGCTTTAATGTCAGCAATAATCTGTTTCAAGCCCAGGCAGCGCATGCTGGGAGAAAATGGGGATGTGCTTTAACTTCATGCTGGATGTCTAATTGGCTAATTTAAGAAAGGTTTCCAGGATTTTCCCAGGAATATCATGCTTTCATATATCTCAGCCTCCTCTGGGTTATGAGGCAGCGCCAGCTACCATCAAACAGATGACGCAGGTATTTCACAGCAATTACAGGAGTTCAGTTAAATAATGGGTTACCTTGAAGAAACCAAGAAGACAGACTGATAAATGTCTGCACAAATCTTGCATAGTTGTACAGCATAAGCACAAAATAGTCACACTGGGCATAATCCTTCATGTAGCCTAAAATACAGCTAAAATCAGACAGTGAAGGCAATCATTGAGGTTAATACTTGGCAGGCATGTTGTGAGAACATCAAGTAGATGAAAATGTGTGGCGATTAAAAGCTTTTTACAGTAAGTTATCAGTTTACAAAAGGGCACACAAGCTTTGGAGGAGATTCCCAGGTTGAGTTTCAAATAGATATACTTTTACAAAAAAAAAATCATAAACCAATTTAGGCCAACATCTAACAAATAAAGTGATCTTTTAAAACATGATTCACTGGTCAAACAGGTCAAAAGTGAGCATAAATGAAGATGAAAAACATTAACAAGAACAAACTCATACAGTCCTCACTCTATGCCCCCTCTGCTGACCCCAGGAGGGTCATAACAGCAGTGGCAGATGAGAGCAACATGGGCTGGCACATACGCATGAAGCATTGCAAAAGTGATAATTTTTAGCATATCAAGTATAAACTTTGCTCAGCACACTTTTTAGCGAAGAGTCTAAAACCCTCTGGGAATTAGGCGTGGTGACTGAGTTTACCCTCAAAAAATGTTGCAATAAGTGACGCCAGAAGACGATCTGCAACTTATCATTATATCGTTTTGTGTTGTGTCACGCTACAGAGTAGATGTGTGAAGACATCTGGGACTCCAGATACTTCAACCCTTATTTACCAGGCAGATAAGGTGAAGTATGCAGTGGGTGGGCAAGACTGCATCATGAGGTGATGTACGTGCAGGGGACCATGGAAAGATAAAGTAAGAACAGTGATATCGCATTACACTGGAAATAACAAATCAAGAGTTTTGATCAATTATTTCCTCTCTTTGCTCTCTGTTAATCTGCCCACTCACTGCCCTATACTAGCATGGGTGTCAGGACTCAATTTATCACTTTAACCTCCACCTTTGCTCAATATAAAATTCTAGGGAGGCAAATGAGGTTGACCGAAACTAAAACAAGGTCAGTATTGTTTATACAGAACAGATAAGAGCTCTATCATAGATGTTCCCTCTGAAGAAAACATGGCATCTGATTGCCCTCATATGGATTAGGAGTGCAAAGAAGAGGAGAGGGAGGGTTTAGAGGGTGTTGAGGGTGGAGGAATGCTGGCAGGGGCTCATAAGACATGCCCCATCCTGACTTATGGACCATGGTCCACTGACAGCAGGGAAACACCATGACTGTTTAAACCAAGATAAACCCAGAGTTCAGTTTACACATCTCAACACCTCGTGGAGACAGCAAACGTCTGTTTAAGTGTTACTGAACACCATGACCCAACACCAGACACGTATTAACACAACTGTAGTACTGTAGCATGGCATTTGCCGCAGCTCACCCTTAATTTTCTGAATCTGCCAGGTCTGGATTTATGCTCATAAGAGAGATGTATGGTGAGATTATTTTGTGTTGTTTTATCAAAAATACCTCTGAAAAACACAGGTATGTTTGGGAAATTTAAAGGGACACTCCACATATTTAATACACATGAAGATCAGCCAATGAAAACTGATGCATAATGTTTACTATGGCTCTGGAGTCAGAGAAAATATTCCTGTCATACTGATGTCATCAGGGTTATGGAGTTTATAAGATGTTTGCATTTACCAGGCAGGGAGGGAAGGTCTCATAAAAGACATTAATAAGAAAATTATATTTACATACCTCAATTAAAAATAACAAAAATAAACATAAAAAATAAAATAACATAAATGGAAGGTTAGATAAAGGTCCAGCATGTAGGATTTAGTGGCATCTAGCGGTGCAGTTGCAGATCAAAAGTCCCTCGTTTCACCCTCCCCTTCCAAGTGCGATGGGGAAACTACCGTGGCCACAAAACACACAAAGAATTGCTTTCTAGAGCCAGTTTGGTTTGTCCCCTCTGGGCTACTGTAGAAACATGGTGGTTCAACATGGCGAACTCCATGGAAAGCAACTAGTGGTGTCTGTGGATATAAACAGCTCTTTTTAAGGTAAGAAAAATATAATGATTCCTATATTCAGGTGATTATGCACTAATGAAAACACGGTTTCTGCCAATAGAGCCTCCTAAATGTAACACACTGCACCTTTAATTTGGTAATTAATTTCAGTTTTTTACATCTTAGCAGTTCTTTTGCAGATTTTAAAGTCATACATTTCAGGGACATTTACAATACAACCGGAATTTGTGGACAGAAACATATAAAGTGGTGTTTATGTTTTCTTTTTTCAACTCAGACACATGCCAAGGACCTTAAATACCATAGTTGCATTAATTGAGCTGCATTATGGGAAATGTAAGATCCACTGTTTTTGGAGCTCGTCCCATAGTAGATACCAAAGGTCAGGATATTTCTGCCTCTGCTGCTGTGATTTTCATTTTCTTTTTCCAGTCTGTCTCTTGTCTGTCTCATGGAGGTGAAATACTAAACCCCTGAAGTGCTCCTTTAATCACCGATTTGCATGATAACATGAGGGGTAAAACACCAAGAATCGAAAGAGGAATCATTAAGATAAAGTTCAGCCTGAGGGGCATTCTGCTTCTATTTTGTCCGGCTCTCGTTCCACGGGTGAGAAAAATGAAAGGAATGAGAGCAGAGGATAAGGAGCAGACAGGTGACTCAGTAGTGTGGAGTATATATAAATCTGGCAACACCTCACTCAACAGGAGGTGAGCTTTATCACAGCCCTTCTCTCCAGACAAAACACACAGCCCCAAACAAGGACAACACTGTTCCAAAGTTGCCCCTGTGCACCCAAACAGCACATGGCTGAGTTGGCTGAGGCATGGTGCCACAGACAACAAGCTGTGATTTACATTCCTACATGCACAGACCACATTTACTCAGTTATCTGTGTTATTTGGGAAAAATAAACATTGCATTGTTCGGCTCCAAATAATGAGAGAAAGGGGAAATAGATTTGAAGTGACAAGAAAGTGGCTGCAAAGCACAGCGACACACTGTATATTTTCATTGACCACAAAGATGTTTATGTACTGTGTACAGAGTGGTGTGATTCAGTGCAGCAATTCTAAATTCATTGCAAGACGTTGATGTGTACCAGGCTGGATATTGATTGACCACATCAATAAAGAAAAGAGAATTAAAGAATAGCATGTCATCTGTTTTTCCACTCGGAGAGAGGCTGAACTCGGCTCCGAGGTTCTAGCCTGCCTGTCTTCTTTCACCAGATGTTTCTGTAGTGACTTGATTCGTCCAAGAACCAGAGGTTTTAGAGTTGGAACTCTAATTCCCCACACCTGTGTTCGGCCATGGCAAACTCTTTTATTTGTTTTGCTGCTAGTCCTCCGAGCCCCTGCTGAGCGATGGCTACCACCAAATGTAACAGACAAACAAGGCAGAGAGGTCTGGTTTGGCTTCTATGTAGGTTGGAGGGAACATACTTTTGTGTCACCAGGAAGACATTTTTGGTTTACTATTCTTGCTAAACAATGAAAAAAAACCCCAACATTTATAAGATGTTGGGGTTTTTTGTTGAGGACATGGTTTTGGGTAGTAGTCCACAAGAGTTAATTGGCAAAAGGTAGTGAAAAGGCCTACCTACCTTGACAAGTTCTCTCATTGGTCAGCAGTTTGTAGCCTTTCTTGCAGCTGCACTCAAAGCTGCCCACTGTGTTTCGACACACATGATCACATCCCCCATTGTTAAGACGGCACTCATCAATGTCTGTGAACAGAAAATCATTAAGAACAGTGGATACATCAAATTAAAGAAAAGGAGAGAAAATAAAAATTGAACCTGTAATGTGTGATTTTCTTGACCATTGGAAACAAGCTGTGACATATTTTTCTTGTTAGCAAACAGTTCACATCGAGTCTTGTCACGGAGCAACATTATCATTCATTTGGAATCGTGTTTCTGGCCTCCTGATGAACATAAACGTCAAATATTCTCTCTCTCTTTAAGCTCTGTTTTTGGTCTGCACCAGCTCCTGAGATAAATAGCTGCTCAATGCTAGACTCTGTTCACGGGCCAGTAACTAACTTTGCTTGTTGTTTATAGAGTACAGAGGATTTTTAGAGCTTATTTGCTCAAAACAGCTGACTGTGTGTCAGCGGGAGACCGCTCTTGGTGAAAGCGGCGACACAACCAAAACAATGAAGATGCTTAGAAGCTCTGCAGAACTGAAGGGAACTGGGAATCGCTAAGCATGTGATCCACTGTTAATATAAATATATTGATTATAGCAACTTTAATAAAAGTTCATGAGAAGTTGTTAAATATGAATGATGAGGTTGGGATATAAAACAAAGGCAGTTAGGCTGTAGGTGAAGAATCGTGCAAAATAGGATGATTATGTGTTTTTCCATGATGGTCTTACAGAAACTGAAAATGAGCTTCAGGGATTTCCTTACTGGCCCTCAGAAGGGCTAAAGTTAGTTTGCGTGTGGCTGTAATGGGATGCAGCTCTCACACATTAAAGCCTCCTGGCAGTAAGGTCTCGAAATCGTCATTGTCCATCTCCTTCCGATTACTCTGCTCTTTATTTCTGTAGCCAATACTCAAGCGATATATCATGTGTTCATCCCTTTTGATGGTGCTCTGCCATGGTAAGTTTGGCAGCGGCTCTGATTAATTCTGAATCATCATCACAAATGAGGCGTCTGTCTCTTGAGGGAGTCTTCATCATCTGGTTGAAATAAATGCACCAGAAATGGAATAAAATAATCCCCTCCTTGCTCCATATTTGTCTCCGCTCTTCAGAAGTGCCTAGCCTGCAGCGAGCCCCTGTCTTCTTGTGCCAGAGCTTCCTGGGTTTGTTTTCCTCTTGTTTCCTCGCAAACCAAACTAATATAAGCCAATGTACTTTTATCAGAGTTGTTAGTCTAACATTATAAGCCATAGAAAGCTGACAGATTTCTATTCCTGCTTTTCTGGAAAAACAGATTGTCCTCATTTTCCCCAAAATCTGACAGACAGTCAGTATTGCCTTTGTTTTCTTAGTCTCCTAATATAATTCTCAGTTTTACCCTAAAGTTTGGAATTGATTTTATTAGACGTAATAGAAAAACTTGCTACAGTATGCAGGTTGCTTGAGTTGAGGATGCTCTGTCAACACTCAGAAAGGAGGGTGACGGTAATGTAGTGGAAAAACTGTCAAGAAAAACTGGTGGCATGACAAAATATTACTCAAAATATGCAGCTGAAAAGCAGAAAGTAGTCCAAGATTGGTGGCACCAGTAAGGATGCAGACATTGCAAGAGCACTTGTGGGTGCAAAACAATAATAATGTAGTCTATAGAGAGAAAACCCAACTAGCAGGTTGGAACAAGGTAAATAGCTAGATAATAATTCCTGTGAGCTCCAGGTGGAGACAGAAGCTCCAATGTGTCTTGCAAGATGACAAGCAAGAGATTCATTTGGTGACAGCTGGACAGGTGCAGTTTGAATGGAGATGCTTTACCTTTGCAGGTCTTGCGGTCCGGCTGCAGAGTGAAGCCAACAGGACAGCTGCAGCGGACTCCTGTCACTGAATCATGACATGTGCTATCACAGCCGCCATTGTTCACTGCACAGGTCTCTGCAGGGGAACAAGCACACACAGTCAGACAAACCCCATGGAAAAATACACCGTAGATACTGTCTTGACCTACTTATTTCTCCCCATCAAAACAGGGTACATGCATACTGGTATTACAGTTGAAATGAGAAGGCACACTATTATAATCAGCATTCATTTTTTGTGTCAAACAGGAGCAAGAAATAAGAAGCGGAGCAGGCTTTCAGGTCCTAGGAATGAAGAAGAAATGAAGAAGAAACAAGAATAGAGAACAGAATCATGAAAGCAGCAGGCGGATGGGATTAACAGTGAGGGAATTGAGGAGATGATTGTGAATAATGAAAAGAGAGAGACATACAACAACCAACACAGCCACATATAAGGTTTCACACATTATCTATGTGTTTGAAAAGTATGTAGGTGTGTGCATGTTTGCTTTTCTTTGGTCAAGGTGAATAACGACCCCTAAAAGTCCTTTGTACTGTAGGGCATCTGTCTCCCCTCCATCATGAGGGCAGAGGTTTGACTTCCAGACAGATGCGGACAAAAACACCACTTTTTCCTGGTTTTGACAAAGCCTTCCAGGCATTTTGGGGATAAAAAAGCAATTTTAGCTACCTGGCCCCTGTGTTGGCTGGACTGATTTGAAAAAGGGAGGTAGTCAGTCAAGACAGGATAGCTGAGGTCTCTTCTCTAGACAGTGACAAATTTCACTGAGACTTTCATTTTAAGCAACAGTGCAGGAGAATTTTTTTCTCATATAAGGGAGACTGGTGTGTGCCTTAATAGTTTTTGGCAGCTTTATAGAAAACCTCACACACTTCAGAACAAAAACAAATAAAAAAAACCTATTGCGATCTGGAACAATCACTTTAACTTGCTGTTGGGCAACTGGTCATCACTTCTCTCTAATGGGCTGTAGGATGCTGGCTGGCAGCTCCTCTAAAAAGGAGCCAGCACAGCTGGGCTAGTCGAAGACTTCACACTGGCAAGGAGACGGCAGCTCACACGTGGCACTAAAGAGGGAATGCAGCCACACTGGTTTTTTATAGAGAATGAGGATCCCTTTGGGGAAACATCTAATCCTCTTCAGTTAAATCTAAAACTGCACTGCCTGCAGCAGCAATAATGAAAGTTTCTTTCACCAAATAAAAAAAAATTCAACTGTAGACTAGAATTATGTATCAAAGCAAAACAGGTGCTTACAGTGATGTAATTTTAAGTTTTATAGCCGTTTCATAGACAACAGCTCAAAACAGTTCAGTGGATGTTGTTGCTGAAGGCATAACATGATGCATTAATATACTGGGATAGAAAATTAAAAAAAAATTAAACACTTTATGAAAAAGAAGAAATAATCTTTCACTTACAATTAAAAAGTATAATTCAGGGGTGCCCGAACTTTTCCCCCTTGGATGGCAAAAACCGAAAATTAATGGTGGGCCATGAATCACATAAAAAAACAGTTATTATATTGTTAAGATGCAAAATGGCCCCAAAGATCCCGAGTTCCCTTAATTGACTGACTTTTGTCAATTAATGTTACCCTGTGAGCCAAACACAAATTATGGAAAATAATTAATAATTAGAGATCCTACATTATTAAAGAGCATTTAATCTCACAGAAAATAAAAAGAGCAACAATTTCTATTCTAACAATATGGCAGGTTGACTTTGGCCTGCAGGCCCTACTTTGGGCGGCTCAGCTTTAATTTATAACACACTTTGCTGACTTAATACACTCAAGGGTTTTACCAGGTCTGGTATGACTGGTAGCTTTTGGTGGCTTATGTAGCGACTGTTAGCTACCTTTACATAGATATTGCTGTGTAACTGACATTACTTGTGGCTTGAGAACTTTATGACTCTTCTTTACTTGTGCTAATGTTACTCTACTTTTTGGCATTTACTATTGCCCTATAAGTCCCACTTGGGTCCACTGTAGCAGCTAAGCAAAAGTTACACTCACTTTAATGTACTTCAGAGCTGAAGTCCTTTTCTGTGAGGTGAGAACACACTTATTCTGCCTCTGATCCTTTGCAGGAGAATGATAGATAGCTTATGATAGAGTACTGGGCAGAGGGAGGGAGGCTTCCAGTTAATACCCCGATCCCAACCCAGGCTTGAGAGTGTAGCACTGTGGGTTCACATAATTGCAAAGTGTGAGCAGAGACAGTTGGCAGGCGAGACGATAAGACAGTGTCAGGACATGCCTCCAAAATGCTTAGTCAGGCAGCCATCTCACCAAACTGTAATGATCATGTGTTAAGAGAGCAAAGAAATATTTCTGACATTATGGTTTTGTGAAGACAGGGTAGAGACACACACTCTGGTATGTGTGTGGGTTTGTGTGCTTTGGATGCACACCAGCCACATCTACAGTGCATCGGGTTGGGACCCGCAATTACAGTAACAGTGGGCAGACTTTTGTAAATATTCTCCGTTGTGTTTGGTCTAATGCTGAGCCTCTACAGTATATGTTTCATACAGAGAGGTGCAGACTGTAGATAATTTTTTAACAGAAGCCACAGGATTTCTCGCTGCAGCACTTCTTGACTTAACATCACAACTGTTGACAAGCAACCTCAATGCAACTTGTCATCAGCCATTTATGACAACCGCAAACAAAATACGTCAACGGGTGAGTGGACAGAATTCACAAGGAGGAGGCACAAGACAGAGTTTCCCTCTTTGTTTATCACCGGGAATAGATGGCTTTGGAGAAAAGGATCTTTTCTTTTTTCTTTTTGAGTTTTCTTGACCAAACAGCAAACATGCAGCTGCAGTAAAGTTATTCAGAAGGAAGAGTTGTTATCAGACAAAAACCCAACTAAAGCTCTGAGGTGAACACTCTCTCAATAACTTAAACCACACAATAAAAAATTAAAACCAGTGAGAACAGTTTGTTAATGTTCTCTAGAGGTACCACTGTGAAAGTAAACCACAAAACTGGTTTCAGCATGGTACAGTAAACAAAAAACTGATAAAGGAGGATGCAAAATATGTCTCTTGCTCCTAATGTTTCTATTTCTGAGAAGAAAAAAAACAGAAACTAGGACAAAAAATTCTAAAATAGGTCAGTCTGTTATATTGTAGCAAGTGGGAAACTCAGTGTACATACAGTAGTAACAACTAGTAACTTAAAACACTATTGTTTCACTTCTTACCTTGAACAGGCTACTCCTCTGAGAGCAAGCCTCCTCCCTCAGTCTCTTACATGGTATAATTAAATCGTAAATCTCTTTGATGTATCAAGGTTTGATACATCCTCGCAGATTTATGAGTTTATTTTTCCTGGCATCTTTGCAATATCTATTAAAACACAGCTTGTCCTGAAAATTGGGCTTAATAGTCTTATTGATATTATCAAAATGCAAAAAGTTTCTACACTTTTTTCCTCCAAAGCACCATTGTTCATTTTACTGCAAATGTAGTGAAACAAATTACTTCTGGCCACAAAATAGACGGAGAAGCTGGACAGGAATAACATGGATATATTCCCTGCAGTTTATTATTTTCACCATTTTAGGGCACAAGATTACATGTGCATGAAAAAGCTAGTTTAGAGGGATTCTGTGTTTTATCTTTTGTATGAAGCAGCGCTGGATCATGGACACATTATTGGCTCCCTCACCAAAGCTAATAGGCCGTGATGATGGAGTTTAAGAACACCACGGCCATGTGTTTGAAACAGTGCAAGCTTAATTTCACTCTTTTCAGTCGTATCAAAACACAAATAAAACCTAAGTCTTTGGTCTGCCTCTTAAAAGCCATCACAGTTAAACTGATGGTGTTTTGGACTTTTAACAAAGGCTAATGTGCTAATACAGTATATCCTTAATCAGTACATCAATCAAACTGAGTGGTGGAAGAAGTATTCAGATCCTTTACTTAAGTAAATGTTCCATTACATACTCCATTACAAGTATTTAAGTAAGTACAGAGGTATTATAAGCCAAATGTACACAGATGGATGTTTTCACATCCATCTGCTTAAAGTGGAAAGTTTCTTTGTAATTAATAGTTTGGAAGTCAGTCCTGGTTCAGTATGCATCTATATATACTGGACCAGGACAAACTATTAATGTGATGTAGAAACTTGAAGCCACCAGTGCACAAACACTGAGAATGGAGTGAGAATGAGAGTGTTCAGCAGGAAAACACAATGCTCATATTCAAAGATTCTTGAATTTTTACTGGGGTAGATGGAGTAGATGCCTCTTTGAGGATTTGAAAGTGGAGCTAAAACAAACCATAATCAGACACACATTGTTGATCCAAGCAGACTAATTGTATATGTCTCAGTACATGTCTGGATGGGATCTTTAAACTAAAATTTCCAGTGACTGATATATTATTATATATAACATTATTAGATCGTTAATACTGATGAATCAATGAGTAAACAGCTTTTACTTACTGTTATAGGTAGTCATGGTGGAGCTAGTTTTAACTACTTTATATACAGGTACAGTAGAGTAGTTTAGTTGAGGGAATAGGCCACTCCAAAGGGTCATTCATTGTTTTATGATTAATGCAGAAGGGTTAAAATGAACAAAACAGTTCTTCTACACAAATTTGTGTTCATTATTTGAACTTTAGTGTGAAATATTGGATCATTTTACCTCTTTGGGCCTTAATTATAAAGAAGTATAGTAAGTAAGTACCTGAGAGAATGTACTTAGTTCCACCACTGTCAAACTGACTGCAGGAGTTGGAGATGATTTTGAAAGGATATATGAATAATATTAGATACAGTGAATCCCTGCCTCTTTATATAATGTTCATGCTGCTGGTCAGAGGCGCCCTGTTTGCAGCTGTGTTTTGAAAAGGTGTGGTTTGACACAGCCAGCAGTTGTTATTGAGAGGGCATTCACAGAAGGAAGAGGAAGGTGTGTGGGGGGGGGAGTGGGGTCAGAGGTCAAGGGTCAGAAGGATGATGCCCCTGTGGGGAGGGGAAGGGCCCGGTCAGTGTCTGCTAGGTTAGCTTCCTCTACTCCCCACACCCACAGACCCCCAGAGAGAGGAGTCAGAGGAACACATATTTACCATTAGGGAACGGCTGTGGGACTGCCGGGTACGGGACACTCCTCTCCCCTGCATGCACGCGCACACCCACACACACGCACACATTGTAAAAACACCACTTTAGTTCTCTGTACACTTGAACCACGCAGCATTCGCATGTTATATAAATCATGAGCATGTGACAAGAACTAATCTGATGTGGTATACTGTATATTCACCTTATTTCTGTAGCCCCATGATACCTTGCGCAAATAATAGGTATGACTTCCAGGTGTCTTCCCTTTTCTTACAGATTTTTGGGAAATTATGTGGGAACACGGCCTGTCACGCCTGAAAGAGATGATGTGATCATACCTCTGCCTTATACTTCCAAAGGGGTGGGAGGACAACCTGAAGAAGCGGTGTCTGATCATGTACAGTAACATATTTAGCTACTTTATTGATTCTGTTGCTACCAACTGTGAATCAATGAACAATCTGAAAAGCTCTGAGGCGTATCAGTCCTCCCACAGTAACATAGTCAGGCAGCTTTTATTAAATGAGGTGGAACACAACCTTGTGTATTTAAAATCAGACAAAGTGGTACGTTCTTTTGGATTTGTCTTCTTTTGGTAGATGATGGAGACTGTATCAGTATTGAAAGGAACAATCCTTTTCCATTTTTTGGTTTCTGCTCAACGCACTGTTGTTTAAACCACAAATTCAGTTTAGCTTGGCTGTGGAACAGCACAACTTGTCCCTGAACTCTAACATTTTAGCTAACGGTAACTTAGTCTGTCACAGTTATCTTAGGCCACTTGTTCCAAGTTGTCCTCCCGTCCCTCAGAAGTAGAAGTTAGTGGTATTATCACATTAACCCATTTATGGTGTGACAAGTTGTGTTCCACATTATTTATTTCCCAAAAAGTTGCAACAAAAAAAATCACTAATGTTCACAGACACCAGTTCAGTGTAAGGAATAACTGGAAGTTCATAATTCATGGGGCTAAGAATAAGGGAATGTCCATTGATTGGCGATAATGACATGAGAGAATGACATTATGTGGTTGCAAAAGAAAAGACATTCTCTTACTGGTAACAACTGAGCAAACAGCAGTGATTATTTTCCAAATCCTAACAACAAAGATGATGACAGGTCTTTGTCTAAAATGAAAAGGGTGACATCTCAAGGCAAAAGTGTTACCTCACAACATGCAGTCATGCAAACAAATATTCCAAACAGTGCAGACAAAGTGCAGTTTTGTTGTCTGTGTGTGAGATGAGGCTTTTGCTTGTTAGTATGAGCACTGCGAGCCTTGACAGACAGAGCGAGTGGAGGTTAGTGCTGCAAGCTGAAAGACAGGGACAGCCAGATTCATGTCTAGGCTTTATGGTGTCTTTTATGGTCAGATAATTTCTGAATTAATGCTATTAGGCTGTTATGTCAAGTCTCTAAGCACCGACAGTGGCCCAGCTGTATAATTTATGTGCTGCCACTAATAAACAAGAAAGCATTAGTCTATTTTTGTTTTTACTTGTAATTGATGTCAAATTATGACTTAATTCTACAAATCTGCTAAGTGAAGACCCTTTCTGCAGCCCACTGAGTGTATATTTATCTTTACACTAAACATCATGGCACGCATTTAGTATGCAGACCATGTACAATCACCCATGATACACGTGGGGTGAAGGATTAGGCCTTTAAGCTGATTGACATATATGTATAAACATAAAAGGCCTTTCGAGAAATGCAGTAACAAAGTACCATGTTTATCCCTGTTCTATTTCTGTTACGTTTCAAATAACATTATTTCAGTAAAAAAGAAAATCACTTTTTTGAGGTGCCAGAGGAGGAAGCAGATGCTCAACTCTGACAGTAACAGATCAACACCACGAAGCATGCACAGTTTACATCGACTGCCACAGTCTGACCCAACATGTCCCAGTCCCAACATGCAACATCCAGAAAGAACGATTCTCAGCAGTTAGAGGTCAGAATACAGTGAGATACACCTGAATACACCAGCATGAATGCACAGACCACCCGAAACAAGAGCACAGTGTGTTTATGTTATGGGCATATGCATGTAGACTACATGTGTTTACATGCATGTGATGCATGCATGCTGGATATGTACTGTATGTTTGTGGTTGTTTGTATAGCTTTCTGTTTGTATTATAAAATGCACCTCTTGCTCTCCTTCTCTCTCTCTCTCTCTCTCTCTCTCTGTGTGTGTGTATCTGTGTGTCTGTGTGTCTGGCACAGTGTGGCCAACTCTTCAGATGACTGAACTCCTGAGCATGTCTGCATCTGCCTGCTATTTGTGAATGTTTATGATTTGCTGTGCTAACAGCGTGAATGCTTCCACATGATGGCTGCTCCTTTCTCTGATATCTGAACATACTGGATACACAGACATTTTATGCATAAATAAACCTGATTTTGTTAGGACTGTTTCAGTCAATAATCTGACTTTAAAGTCTGAGTAGGCCATTGAACAAATATTTCTAAGAGTGTGTGCACATGTGTGTATGAATGAGCGAGAGCAGTCCATGTGTGCCATCTATTAAAGCCCGTTCTGTCACTAAAATCCCCATCTACAGTATGCAAGATTTCAACAGAGGTGAGACAGGAAGGATAAAGAACCAACACTTCCAAACAGAGCAGCATGTGGCGTATTATTACAAAATGCATGACTGAGCCTGGGTGAGGAGAGACACCACAAAATGAATGAAAATGTGGCAGAGTGCATATGAAACACCCCACAAGATGGATCGAACAGTGAAGCTACAGCATACTGAAAGAGCCCACCAGACGACAAAGCCACTGACAAGGCGAAAGCTGTTTTGTAATCATGTGCCATGTTCCTTTCGGATAAAGTATGCAGCGACTCAATGAATAATAAACGTTTCCAAATCAATATTGGGACTAAACTGGAGTGTGTTTATACCTTGTGTGGTTGCTATGGATACCCTCGACACTCTATACCTCATTAACTATGCCTGAACGCAGTGGCTGACGAATAATTAGCACTATGTGCCATGTACACAATGCTTGAAAATACAACCCCAGCAAGCCAATTTTTATCTCGTTTGTGACATTTAACAATATTTGAAAGTTTAGAATACGAGTTCTTGGTTCCAAGAGAAACTATTTGTTTTAAGCCTTGAAATAAATCAAAATGACATTTCTTTCTTCAAAGCAAAGGTACCTGTTGCATCTTGAAACACTTCATGTTTATAATAATAAATATGTAATATTTATTTTGCCAGAGGGATAGTTATTATTATGATTGTATTATATTACATTATTATTATTAGTTATTATATTTAAACCTGGCACACCAACTTGAAATATCAGTGTACACCTACGCGGCTTTTAAGTGTAAATTTAAAAAAAAATTAGTTTCATCATGCATTGCTTCTGAATATTTTCTTATGGTGAAAACCCTACACAGTTACAGTCCTAGTGCACAGCAGTGGTGCCTATCTGAAGGTCTTCCAGCGTTCTTGTCACTCACTCTCCCGTCAGTGGTTCATTTGGCAGATTGTTTGTTTTATTGAGGTTTTATTAACTAATAGAGTGTCTGGGAGATGGTGCGCCCCCGTGTCGACCGCAGAGCAGCCCTCCCTCTTCCTCTGTAACCCCAGACTCTGAGGGGGAAATCAAAGATTTTAACTGGCTGACTGCTTCCTAATCTGGCACACCAACTGTGCATTTTGCTCTGCCTTGGGAACAAGACAGGCTAAGACATATAATTTGGTTGCGGTCAACTTTGTGGCGTTCCCCTGGCCTAGCAGGGTACAGCAATAATGACAGGTTGGCTGACCAGACCTTGACATAGGTCTGGCTCTCATCAGGACTGCGGTAATAAAGGGGATCCAGAAACACTGAGCTAATCAGCCGCTACCCAAACCAAGCTCTCAAACTTAACAGCCACTGAAACCAAGCAACCATCTCACCAGTCTGCCCTGCATGCGTAGGTTTTAATTCTATTATTAAGTTTGTCTTCCTGACAATGAAAATATGTCTTATCCAACTCACTGAAGCTTCCATTACAAACCCAGGTCACTAACACAGCAAACTACATGCTAAATTGGTTTAAATGGGTGTGCACTGTGTACAGAAACTATTAATGACACTTTGGTTAAATAGGCGGATAAAATAAAAGCCTGTCTGCAGTAATGGTCAGTCTTAAATTTACACCTGACCACCTTTATTTTTAATGTTCCACGATCGTTGATGAAATGTCTGTGCAATTCTGCATGGCTAAACTCCATCCGTACATGTTTATTGAGACCTGTGCTTTGACTCTACTGCACCTGAAGGTCCCATCTGATGGGAAACTGCCCTTCAGAACGGTTCAATATGCTTGAGTAGCTGAATGATTTTTACTCAACTTAAGTCAACTGAGGCAAACACTGATAAATGCCAGTGGAAGGTTAGGTCAGGTGTGTGAGTTAATCCCCAATCCCGAGCGGAGGAACTGACCCAAGGGCTAATAGAAGGTGTGCGTCTGACTGCATGGCCGAGAGAGAGGGAGGAACAGAGAGAGCTGTTGCAGTGTCCAGTGAGGAGGAGGAGGAGGAGGAAGAGGAAGAGAAGCCAAAAGCAGATGCAGGGACTGAGAGGTTACTGGAGCAGCAGCAGCAGCAGAAGAAGAAGAAGAAGAAGAAGAAGAAGAAGAAGAAGAAGAAGAAGAACAGAAAGCACAGTGGGTGGTAGCCTTTTGTCCTTGTATGTCACAGATCAAGAGAAATGGCTCAGGCATACAGCTACTGTAATAAGGCCTGAATTTCAACTATAAACCTCATTTCAAAACGTTAATTAAATTTGCTGTTGGAAATTGGAAAGTCAGTGGTTTGTGGTTCTACATTTTCTCATTCAAAAGCCATTATTTCTTGCCCTTGGTAGTTGTATCAGGGTGATATGACTCACCTACACAAGTCTTTCCATCGCTGTGCAGGACGAACTTCATGTGGCATGAGCACTTGGGGCCGTGGTCTGTCTCCTCGCAGATGTGCTGGCAACCCCCATTACCGTAATTACACGTCACTATCAAAGAGCACATAGTTAACATAAACTGTACACACAAGATAATACACTTTTCACAGGATACATGTTTCTATTTTTAAAGTTGACAGTAGAGTTGACAGGTGACCAGAAATAAGGGTAGAGAGAGGTATCATATGTAACAAAAGTCCCCAGTTCAGGACGCCCACACACTATTTCTCCGGGCTATATGCTCTATGATATAAATGCTTCAGTATCAGATCCAAGGAGACATTCTGTATGTAAAGCTTGCTATTGAGTTCCTCAAAATAACATACTTGCAAAATATAATAATAAAAATGAAAATTGTCTCACATCACTGCAGATGCACACAAACCAATAGGACCTCTAAATCTTTCAACACAGGCTTGATTAAGGTCAGAATGATAATGCGAAGAACACAAGCATTGATTTACATATCCACCACTTCACATGAAAGGTGAATCCTTTACTACATCAATCACAATCATGGCTTTATTCATTCATTATTCCCCTGACTAAATGTTTTTAACCTTGTGATTAAAGAATTACACTGAAGTTGCGGAGGTCACATTTTTTAAACAGCCGATGAGTTGGCCTTGAGCAAGAGGTTGGACTTACTCATTGTAAGTCACTCTGGATAAGAGTGTCAGCCTACAAGCTAGTCTTAATTGTAATACACCTAATTAATTCTGCAGAACGGGCAAAAACTTTAAGTGAATCCATTTTGTAGAATGTTGGACATTTCTTACATAAACAGTTATGTCAGTTACACATAAATGATGAGAAACGTAAGATTTCTGGTATAAGTATGTGTGTTCATGTGTGCGTCTCTAAGTGCAAATACATTTATGTTCTGGAGGGCGAAGGGAGCATTAACCTTGGCACTTTTAACACACCTGTGATGACAGAGTGAAAAAGAGCACAAGCGAGCCGAGGCTTCCACCGCCATCCTGTCTGCACCCTACCATCCCAGCGCCTTTTGCCCTTTTCCTGGGCTGTCACAGAAAAACTATAGAATAACACTTCTCCAATCCTTATCCAAACACAGACAAATCCCCCATCAGCCCTGGCCCCAGCTCTGACAGGATGATCTCCGTTGCACAGCAACAGGAAGTGTGCGCTGTCCGTCAGAGTAGTCCCCTTCGAGTAACCTCCACACTTGCCCTGGTTGTGTAAATGATCACTCCTTATTTGATAAACATGTTTTTCTTTATGAGGACTACTCAGAAGATTAGTCACAGCTCGGTAATGCAATGTAAATGTCAGTAGCCTACTTCAAATCTGTTGGAAGGCATTTGTGGAATGAGTGCAATTATCCATCATCGGCAGGTTTCCAACCCCGATCACTTTTTCATGAGGAGCCTATAAATCCTCCTGCTTGTGTGTGTATGTGTGTGTCTTTCACAGAGGGGGAACTATGCTTGAGGTTGACATGACTTACATTTGCAGTCCTTCATGTTACGGGTGAGCTGGAATCCAGGTCGACACTCACAGGAGATGCCACCCTTCTGTGTTTCCCTACAGATGTGTGCGCAGCCGTGATTCTTGTCCATGCAGGTGGGTCCCTCCTTTGCGCCTTCTGATTGCACTGTGAAGGAAAACAGCGAGACCAGGAGAGAGAGGTTTATCTCTTACCTGCCACACAGATTACACACGCTTTTAAAAGCCAAAGACCGTTCAGTAAACAAAGAGTTTGGTTTTAAATTAGATATCACGGAGCTAGTAAGAGGACTAAAAATGTTCAAATGCCTGACACGCATTCTGACCCTCAGTCACATATATGCCTACTGCTGGTGACTGACATGCCCAGTACCCCTTTACAAAGATTTGAGCACTTGTTGGAACATGCTCACTCTGCTCAGGCTATAAAAAGGAGGCTGCCAACAGAAAGGATAAAACTCCCAGCAGGAGCTGATCCCGTAGACCTGTAATTTTAATTGAGGTAATCCCCCATAAAGAAAAGAAAGGAGAAATACGCTGAAAAAAATTAACTCCTGGTTTAAATTCTCACAGCAGAGACTGAGATCAAAAGGGAATGCACTAAAATAAGGGCGTCAGTGCACATTTTCATGAGTCATCAGGGTTGAAGCACTTCAATAAGAATGTGACAAACCTCTAAAAACACAAAAGGAAGATATTATTGAAAAAAAGGCCTTTCATAATTCAAAGCTTTACTAAACATGGCACCCTAAGATGCACAATTTCTGTGTGATGTATAAATGCTTGATGAAGAGGTACAACAGACACCTAGCGTGCATTTCCATGACTTGAGACCCTCATGTCATGAATTATTACACCAATGAACACAGTGCTCCCTCTGCTTTGCTCTGCACTGTAATAGCACTGCTGCCTTTGCAGGAGAAGACATATTTGACTTATTCGTTGTGAAACCCTGCCACCACTACAGATGCAATGACAAACCCCAGCTCTCTGGCTCATTAAAAACCAAACAGATCTCTCTCCTTTTTCCTTCTCTTCTGGCAAACAGGGAGGCAGTGAGCAAGAAGACATCTCCATTAATGTCTCATTAAATCTGCTGTCGCACTGAAGGGTGTTTGGAGGTCTAACTTTGTTAATTAGCCAACTTTTTTTTTTGCTATAAATTTAAGCATTTGCATACGTGTGTGGAAGTGCCAACACCTAGTAAAGCTCATATAACCTTGTGCTCTCTTCCTCTAAAGTCCAAATGTAGTGTGTCAGTCTTGACAACCATGTGCTGTCATACAGTTTCTATGTTCCTTCCCCGAGGGCCATGAGGAAAAAACTATCTCAGAAACAGGTTTTTTTTTTTTTTTTTTTTTTTACATAACTCTATTGTAAATGACTTATTCATGTACTTTAACTCCTGCCACCAGAATCTCCTTTAACTATGCCCTCTTGTTTTCCATATGTTTTGCCAAGAACTCAACCTGCCCTCTTATGCATTTCCACTCGTGGCTGAAATCTATCTTTTTTTTACCTCAAGTAGCTGACGAAGCGAGTGTGACAGACAATTCTGCCCTCCTGGTTAAATACTTTCCATCCCTTTTAAGTCTGTCAACAAGTGACACAAGGTCACACAATCCTCTCAGACTTTCCTGCCTGACCTCCCTGTCATTCTTGCAGACAGAGCGAGCTATAAGACACTAACTGCAGCAACAGCCCCCCCCCCCCCAAAGATTCAGCGCTGAGCAGACACTGGGCCAGTGCTTGAGCTCTGAAGGCAAAAAGAAAAAGGTATGGCAGGACTGAGTGAAGTGACCATGAATGAGCATCAACAGAGCAGCTGCTGTAAAGTGCTGAAAATTTCACAGCGAGTCATGTGGATATTTAAGTAGGATGTGGAATTCAGCGGTCCGTTTCCGTGGCTTTGCGTCTATCTGAGGCCAGAGCAAGAAACAGACATCTATGAACTTAACAGAGGATTGAATTTCCAACTAAGTAACCCCAATGGACTAAAGATTACTTACTAAGGTTGTATTATGCATCCCAAAACTCACTTCACTCCACCTATATTTATCCAGCCCCTCTGTCCGAATGTTACAGACCTATCCATCAATAACATGTCGGGTTGGGGCCAGAACCTGGGCCTTCATCTCTCTGAGGACCAATAAAAGCCAAAGTGTTGACACAATGGCCCTTTTCTGCAGGCCAGGCTCAGCAATCATCTACCCTCTGACTCGCTGCCAAAGGCCTCCAGTTTTTATCATTACTAAATGATGAGAAGCAGATAGAAAAAACATCCTTTCATGAGGAGGTGGATGGGAAAGTAAAGGAGAGAAAAAAACAAAAAAATACCAGATTATATGTGCCATGATGCACTCAAACAATCTGCTGACCATAAAACATAACTCTATATGAAGAAACTTATAAAAACTATCACTGGCCACTTTATAGGTGGAGAACTGGACAGGAAATAGACTCCAAAGTCTTGGAATTGAGAAGGAGTCTTTTCAAATAGCTACCGAGGGACTGACCAGAGTGGATATGGGTTTTCACACAGCTCAACATGGACAGGCGTCATCGAAACTGCTGCACTTGCGGTAAAAAAAAGAGGGAACACTGCAATTAACCAAGAAAACAAGTGGGAGTGTTCCCTCTCACAAAGGAGCCACAACTTTATCCTCCCAGGACAGGTCGTGACCTCTGTACCAAACACTTAGAGGTGATGGTGTTGCCACAGGCCAATAAATCCATTGTTTGTCCTCTGCAATAGGTAATAGCATGTGTGTTAAAGGAACAGTTCGACATTTGGAGAAATATGCTTAATTGCTTTCTTACTGAGAGTTAGATGAAAAAATCGATACCCCTTTTCATGTCTGTTAGCCATAGTTGCTGGCTGTAGCCTAAGATAAAAATTTTGTTTGTTTAATCGATAAAAAACCTTGCAGTAAAACCACAACTTGTTGTTTCGCACGTCAGTTTTTGTATGGATTAAACAAACAAAATCTTAATTAGTGAGCTTAACAGACTAAATACAACAAAGTAATAAAAAACTGGTTTCCAGTCCTTATGCAACTGCTCTACTGGTAAGTTAACATGTTCTGGCTATAGCTTAATTTTCACTGTACAGAAAGAGAATAATCGTATTTCCCAGAATGTCAAACTATTCCTTAAATAGATCTACATTTTTAATGATTGTATGAACAGCTGAACAATTGCCTTTTTAGAGCATTTAATTGCAAGGGTAATGCAGATGTAGCCAGAAATATAGTTTAGTTTATTATCAAAATAATCATTAAAGTCCCTAAAAACTTCAAATCTTATATATTAAATATTCAGGACTAAATACAAAAAAGTAATAAAAATAATAATAATTTTGTTCTTTTTTACAAGGTTAAGTCAAAAACTGACTGGTCAACGGAAGCATGTAGCGTCACCCTTTTTCTAACTGTGTTTAACCAAGAAGTTTATTGAGGTTCAGGGCCTATAGGAGAATGAGGGCTAATGGACTTTGTAGACAAGACTTGTTTCAGTAGTGCTCAATATGCTTGTAACCCATTAAGATCTTGTTAAGTATGCTAAATATCCAGTGATTACTTTAGAAGGAACAGCATAATCATTGGGAACAAAATGACCAGAGTATATTATCTTTCAATATCTTGAAGCAGAATCAATTTGTGTGTCTGTCATTGAGTCAGTGGAACTTCAGCTTAATATGTGAGATGAGCTGCAGAGCCTGCAGAACACGGCATTAGCTGCGGGTAACATCACACAGCTGCTTTACTGAAAACTAGGAGGTCAGGACAACAAAAAAAAAGCGAAGGTACATAAGGATTTAGTGATGATAGCAACTCCTGTGGGCAAGTCAGTCTAAATGGATAGCTGTGTGGAGAGATTGATTGGAGTGGATGGCAATTTAAACTCAATAGCTTGTGAAAAAGCTTTTTCTCAAAACTCTGAGAACCAGACTAGCTCTAACTACCTTGCAAAAAATCTACTGAAAACATATTTTCTGACACAAGTAAAACATCTAGATCATTAAAAAAAAAAAGGATTCTGCTGGACCTCATGTTATGCACAGGAGCTTCAGCCTCTCTATGACTGCCCTTCTGAGCTAAAATCAGCCTACCAAGAAAACAAACAACAGTAAACTTTCAACAGCAGGGTATGTGTTTTAACATGACATGAGGAACTGCGCAAAAGAAGTTAACATGGGTGCTCCAGCTAAGATGCCGACTCCTGTGATCCTCAAACAAAAGACCCAAGGAGGCCACAAGTTCTTCACCACAGTGCTGCAAGCTCTCTTAAACCTGAGAACCATGTAGTGGAGAGACTGAAACAATGGGGCTGAAGTAGTGGAAGGCATGCCAAGGGTTTATAGTCTGCTCTGAGTGCTTGGGGCAGTGAAAAGAGGGCTCATGGTCCGTGCTGAGCTGCTGTCATACGTCTCGGAGTGGAGACGGTCCCCTCTTTGCTCGACACTGGCTGGGGAACATTAAGCAGCTAGCCAGTGTTGGTTGGTTGCAAACTGAAAAGAAGGGGCCTAAGCATGGAGCCACCACACTATTAAAGTAACATTCCTTCCTCTTAGATAATGGGCCCTTAAAAGTTTTAATAGGAGGATAAAAATGTCAGCGCATGAAAAGGAGAATGGGAAAAGGAGCTGAACCGGATTGGGTTGGGCTGAGCTGCGACGCAGATGGTCAGCCCAGAGCAACAGGGCAGCCAGCCGGGTCAAGGAAGTAACTCTTCCCCACCGACTCCGTTCATAGAGAGCAGACAGAATCCATCCAAGTGCTACTGTTTGGTCTGTTGTGCGAGCGCTGATTTTCTCCAGCTCCCCAAGGCCTTGTTGAGGCTGCTCATTTCACTCCCTTTTTCAGAGAGGAGCCACTGAAAGCATAAACAACCGGAGAATGGAAAAGACAGCAGAGAGCATTCTGGACGGATACATGTCGCTGCCAAAGTGCTTAATGTACAACTTTTATTGGTATATTGGGCTCCTGAGATTGAAACAAAGCACATATAGTTACCATATGCTCCAAAACAAGCCAAGCATAGACTTTCTAAACAGTCTAAACTGATGTACAGTTGAGAAATACTTTAAGTACTCAAAACTTAAAAAACAGACAACATAATAGATCTGCTTTTGAAAGGCTCTTGAAA